GAGGCTGACCAAACTAAACATGGATAGGGGGGGGGGGGGTCATTTTAAAAAGATTTTATGGAGCCAAAGAGTTAATGTCATTTCAAGCAATTCTCATAGCCTGTGGACAGTGGTAAGGGCATTGTTTCATGGAAGAGATTGGGGCCTTGCCACATAATATTTACAAAGAAAGCATCGGATACACATATCACCTTCAGCTAACCTCCATACACTTTAAAAAGTAATTTTATTGTACGCAGGAAGAGATCAGCGTTATTTTGAACCAGTATGAAATCCTTGATGACTACAACTTCTCCTTGAGTGATGAAGACTTCAATGCAAAGTAAGTGCAACTTTATTCTTTAATATTCTACAAAGGCTTGTCATACTCACAATTGTTAAAATTACCCCACACCCTATTTAATCTGTCCATCCTATGATTCAACAATGACGCCCCACACCGCCCCCGATAAGTTTTTTTTTAAACTTCACAATAACTCCCACACACTGCATTTTTTAAAGTAAAATTACATGGTCCTCCTAAACCTTGTTCAGGCACAGAATCTGTGCATTATCTAGGCTCGTCAGAGATTGGCCAATTTAGCAGAGCCTGTTTAGTGACTCTTCTGGGATTTTTAATGGACAAAGCTTCTTGAAAAGTAACATCTCAGGGTAAGAAGGTCATGGGGTTTTAAGGTCTCAAAGGTAAAGTCGAACTCTAGTATCCTGTTTTGATATATCGTCACAGAAAGAGATTTCTGAAACGGGCCCTTTTGTTGTTGTTCTTCAGCCCTTAAGGTTCATTGCTGCAGATATCACCCGCCTCCATGCATCTCTGTGGTTGGCCTTATCTTTCCAGTTTGTGACACCGATTGCAGTTCTGTCTGGACATTATCTCTCCATCGTCTTCTTGGTCTGTCTTGTGGTCTACGACCATTCATCTCCCTTCTGTATACAGTTTTCACTGGGCCCTTCTGTTTGCTTTGTATAAAGTACTTTTCAGTGTCTGATATTTCCGCAGTCCGTATTCTGCGTGGTCATCCTCTGACTCTGCTAACGTTGTATCTGAATAACATTGTTTTGATATATGTTTTCTATAAATCAGCGATATATATAAATCTATTTTCTGGAGGCATAATTCTCTGTGTTTGCCCTATTATAGAGTATCAATGCTGGCCTGGCCGTTGAAGATCGAACAGATGTGTGAAAAGAAGCTTGAGGCACTAGATGAAGATGAAGATCGGTACTTGAGGCAGCTGGAGTCAGATACCATCGCCTTGAATGAGCGCTTGGATACTAATCAAGTGAGTCTGCTGTCACAATGGAGCTAAACACATAACCATAGTCAACATCTGAAACTTAGGGGTTATGATTGGGGGGTTTATAATTCCTACATACCAGGGTTCACACCTGTCTCAGTGGAACTCAGCATTTAACCATAGTCCTCATCTGTAACTTAAGGGGTTGTGAATGCAGGTTTATAATTCCTACATACTGGAGTTCAAAGTCGGCTGTCTCATTGGAACTAAGCATATCATCATAGTCAGCATCTGTAACTTGATGGGTTATGAATGCAAGTTAATAATTCCTACATACCCGTGTAAGATGTCACCTGTCTCAGTGTGCTAAACATATAACTGTTGTCAATATATGTAGCTAAGGGGTTATGAATGCAGCTTTAAAATTCCTACATACAGAGGTTTGAAATCAGCTCTAGTTCTCAAACTGGGTGCCACCAGCGTATGCCGAGGTGCCGCACTAGTAATGAAAAATACATCCAAACAGTTTCATTCATCTCATTAGAGACAACTTAACATAACATTTGCACTGTTTTTTTTTCTTGTGTTCCTAAGTATTCAGCCGCTTTAAGGGTAGGTGTGCCGCGAAAGTTTTGTAGCCTGAGAAGGGTGCCACGGCAAAAAAAAGTTTGAGATCGCTACTATAGGCTGTTTGACAGCAGACTGCTTTGCGATGATTTTAAGAGTGGAATGAGCATGGAACTGCTCATGCCCATTGACAAGCAATGTAAATTTGCCTTTTAAAAAAACCAGCAAGTGCTGGGGATGGTTTATGACATCACTAAAGAATATATGCAACTAACTTGTTCAAAAAATTTAGTATATATGTTGGATTAATGAGAAATTGTGTGGAAGTTTTAGAGATGAGATTTTGTAGAAGAATGATGTGGAAGCTGGACAGAAAGAAAAAAATAATGGAGGAAGGAAGAATGTCCAAAAGAAACTCTAAAATGAATGTTGATGAGGGAGGCCAAAGGGGCTGCACTATATTATATCCAGGGAATCAGAGGGATTGCAGGGGATACAATGGAATGGAGGAATAGACTACAAGCCCTGTGTGACATATAATAGCACAACAGAACAGGATGATGATGATGACAGGGAGAACTAGTAAAAAAAAAAAAGTAAATAAGTAAAGGACCCTTTTCCAGGCCTTTAGGCGTAAAGGGCACATAGGGCTAGACCTATATTTAATAGATCAGTAAGCACAAGATAGGTGATGTGGTCAGCAGAGAATGAGAGAGAGTCCTGTAGAAGAATTATGTGGAAGCTGGAGATTATGTGATTTTGTTGAAGAAAGACTGATACAAATATAATGATGTAAGATACATTTTATTGGGGGGTTAATTTTTCTTTTACAATTAAAACATTATGCAGATTTTAGTGGCAGCCATGGCAGAACATTCAGAAATGGAAAAAGCTCATGAATTTGCCAATGAGATGAGAAGAATGTACAAGAACCTGAGAGAATGTCAAGACCTGGCTCAGCTGTACAATAGCAGAGAGAAGCTGTTCAAGATGAAACCTACTAATGTAAGTTGGGGATGTATGTTATCCCAGCTTTTCACAGATATAGTTTTTTTGTTGTCAAAAATCACACAAAGTGTCCTTCACTATCCCATTTTAAAGCAGGTAAAAAAACTTGTCAGCCCCAGCAAAGTCTTGAAGCTTGCACACACAAAGTAAAAAATGCATTAGGCAGCTGTCAGATGTGGCAACACCAGTAGTCTTACAAGAGAATCGCAGCTCACCATCTCAATCAGTCCTGAAAGCCTGCATTGCACTCGCAAAAGTACATGTGATTCTGAATATAATCAGCCACTTGCCATTTTTGGACATTTAACAATGCACCGCTGTCATGACAAGAAAAAACACAACATTCCACATAAATTTCAAAGTTCACAGTGTCACACCAAGCACTCAGTTCAGTAGATGGGGGATGGAACCTTTGGACTCCCGATCCAGAACTGGAGAATCGGCATTAGCAAAAGCCTAGCTGGAAACTGCAAGTTAGTACCAGATCATAGAAGGTGTTAAGAAAAGGGGCTGGCCACCTGACCTCATTTTTCGTAGCCAAGAATGTGTCAAGGCCTAAACTTCAAACTCCAGTGGCTTTGTCTGTTGTGAGGCTACTTTGTGACAGACCATCCTGTAAACTGGTCTGGGAGGGAAGCTCCGGCAGACAGAGCACTGCTATTTTGACCCAGTAGCTTCTGCAGCATACTTTGTTCAGAACGCATTGGTTTACCTTTTCTTTGGAGTAAACAAGGCAGGCTGAGAGAAGGGTCATGCTGCATAGGCAACACATGGACCCTACAGTACTGCCCAAACTTTGTGCTATGGACGTTTTTTATGGTGAGCAGGTCTTGCTAGTCACACTTGCCATCACCATTGGCTGTGTTTCTCATTGCTCCCTAAAGGAAAATATCACAATGTCGTCTGGAAAGATGGAAAGGTGCCAACTAAAATTAAATTTCATGCTATGGGGCGCATTGGGTAAATAGTCTTCTTCCTATTAGTGTTCACCGGCTGTAAACTCCGTTGTAAACTTCTGGAAATTAGTCCACTTCCAGACTGTAAGTCTTGTTGCAGAACTTAAGGTTTGCATGCACATCTGTTTTACATATCTGGCTTGTTTGTATGGCAGACTGTTGTTTCCTTGGCTCTCATGTAGAAGCACCCTGACTTTGAAGGAAACTCTTTCAGGGCAACATTTTTTCTGGAGTTTGGACAGCATTAATTTTTAGCAGAATTTGTTTACTGCAACCTGACAAAGCTAAAACTTTCCTTAAGAAAACAATATTGACTGTATAGGGACATATAATATATCAACTTAAAGAGAAATGAATGCAGAATAAATCAAAACTATTTAAGTATTGCAACAAATTATTATTAAAATCACACAACATTCAAGGATGTTAGACATTTGTGAAGATTATTTACACATGAAATGTTGTGCTTACCTTTCTTTTTACTTGGTCAGTGACACTGCTATCTATTTCTTTATATTCACATGTCTCATCTATTCAGTTATGCATCAGCTAGTCTTTATTTGAAACAGTTAATTTAAATACTTTGGATTTGACAATTTTTGTTTATCATGTCAGTTTTCTCAACAACCGAATCGAAACAGGGATGATCCGAACGAAAAATTTTGATCAGCTTCCTTCTAACCTATATTATCAGCAGTAGGTTTGGTGCTTGCATTAGGAATCATAATATCAAGACTTTTGTCACTATCAGGCTGAGATTCATCAACGGAGCAGTATGTACAGTAGTTATAGAACTTCACTTGGTCTGAAAAATTGAGATACAAATGGTATCACTCTGAGTTAATTAAAAAAAAATCAGAAAATAATCCAACAACATGCCAAACTTTGAAAATTAAAAGACTTTGTTTTGCTTATTCTAGTTTTTCAGAACCTGTTCATACAAATTCATTTTACCAGCAAACAAAACAATGTTAGGGTGTCTCTATGATGAAAATGGTGTTTAGTCCGAATATGATGGATTCAGAAGCCACTATAGTGGTATTCTGTCCTTAAAGAGGGAATCGATTTTATGACATGATGTTAGGGGAAGGGGACTGTGGGTCTCTCCACTCCTAACTCACAATGGGGTCCCAGAACCCACAGGGTGGGGGAGGGGGGGGGGGAGAAGACCGCTCAGAAGACAGACTTACTGTAAGAGTATGTGCTAACATGCATTTGTTCTTTACTACAGTATTCAAGAATAAGTAAAATCATGAAAGATTTTGAACCATTCCGTAAACTCTGGATCACTACCTCTGACTGGGTACGATGGCATGAGAGCTGGTTGTCTGACCCATTAAGTGCAATTAATGCGGAAGACCTAGAAAGATGTGTCACCGACTCGTGGAAGACCATGCAGAAGTCAGTGCGTTACTTCAGCAGCATACCAGGTAGTGCTCGAGTGTGTATGTGTTGTCTGTTGTAAAAGTACAATACCCTTTTCACCCCAATGGCGCATTAGGCATTTAATGCAAGACTCATATTTGCATAGACCAATCGGCCCTTGATGGCTGAAGGGTCAACATTGCGCCACCTTTACTACCCAGTATTTTGCCTGGTGCCCATTTTTGGCTGGGTTGAAACTGGAAGCCATGTTTTTTTTTTTGGGAAAGAACAAAAAGTCACTCAATGCAGATTCAAAACCATGACCTTTGGACTGGAAGCAGAGCATCTTGCCACTAGTTTGCAACCTTTTTTCTTTTCAGATACTGATACCCCACCCCCCCCCCCCCCCCACCCCCTACCCCTTTTAAATAAAAGCCAAGACCCTCACAACCCCTAATACTCCCCTTTTACAAATAATACATTGCACATTTTGTTGCCTGGCAGATTTCACTGAATCACATTAGGTGCATTACTGCAGAGTTTAATCAACATATAAATATAGCACAAAAATGAATCCTATTAGCTGAAATGCATACATCACATTGCCAAGTTTCTGTATGTCTCTCCATTGAAATTCAAGATCAGCCATGTGATTATCATGGTAACCTAAAATTTATCATGTGATCTTTCTGTTTAGTTTTATTGATACAGCCATGGCCAGTCTTAGTAAACATCAGTGTGTGGTCAATAATCCTTATCAACTAGGTGCCCAGAGTCAAGTAAATGATGTCCTGTCAAAGAATGGGGTTCTCTCTTCTTTGTTGGTCTTTATACAGGACCTTAGAAAGATCAACGAATTACTCTTTGCAGATGACCAGGCCTTGATAGCAGATACAGCCATGAAATTGCAACAACATCTAAAATCCATGAATGAAGAATGTAAAACAAATAATATGAGAATCAACACTGAAAAGACAGAAGTAATGTCAATAGGAAAAAAGAAGACAGATCTAAACATAGCAATAGAATACAAAGGCATTAAACAGGCATCTGAGTTTAAATATCTGGGAACTACATTTACCGAAAATGTGAAATTGGATAAAGAAATTGACATTAGATGCAGTAAAGCAAACCAAGTATTGGGACAGCTAGCCCCCCTCTTACAGCATAAGACAATCCCAATCAGCACAAAGAGACATCTTATTCAAAGCATATTTATTCCAACTCTGTGCTACCAGTGCCAGACATGGTCACTCACAACAAACCATAAAAGAAAATTAGTAACCGCGGAAATGAGATGTCTGAGAAGGGCTGTAGGAGTGACCATAAGAGATAAGATCAGGAATGAGATCATAAGAGAACAAGTTGGCACAGAACCAATTCTGGATTACATACAAAGACAGCAAGTGAAATGGTTTGCCCACTTAAAGAGAATGCCTTGTGACACCATACCATACAAAACATACATGGAAAGAGAAGAAGGACATAGAGCACGGGGTAGACCAAGAACAAGATGGAAGGATAACATCAGAGAAACTCTACAACAGCACGATGTGCCTATGGTCGAGGCAGCCAGAAGAGCTAGAAACAGAACCTTATATCTCCCTCGACACCCACAGCGGTTAAAGAGGAAGTGAAGAAGAAGAAGAAGAAGATACAGGATCTCTGCTCATCTGTTTTCAAGCTGTCTCTTCTTTTGACCAATGTATTTTGTTTCTGTCCACATTATTTAAATTTACAATGTGAAGGCAGGATGGTAAGGAAAGAAACCCATCTTCCTATCTAATTGTTATTACCTACCAAAAGTGAAGGCCTAAGATTGGAAACCTTTAAACAGCATCAATCCTTACTGTTACCTTTTATTATGAAACAAGGAGTTAATGTTTTTTTGGGGCACAAAAATGGTGCTGTCGTCCTTCATTGTAAAGCTCGGATGTATTGGACATATAGGGCTAGACCTATATGATACAGACAAATCAGCACTTTATAGATGATGTGGTAAACGTCACGCCAGCCGCCTTTAACTTTACTTGGTACCACTTTAAGGCTGGGTCAATCTGGAAACTAAAATATTTTTAGCAAAAAAGTCTGGCTATGTCAGAACCTGAACCCACGACCTTCAGATCAACCAGCAAGTGTCTAACCACTACACCATGGCGGCTTCCACATATGCTGTGATCTGTAGCAGTATTACATGGTGAAGCCATACTCTCTTCCACGTTGTGAGTCTCATTCCGTGTCAAAAAGTTGTGAGAAGGTTGTTTTTTCTTTTTCTAACCCAGTTGCTGCCGTATTCGATCAGTAGAAAACTTAAGCTTGTGAAATATGCTTCCTTACCTTTAAACAACAATGAACATTTAGTTTATCCTTAAGTGGGTGTTTGGCATGATGTTTTGTGGTTTTCAGCTAGGCTAGGCCCATCAGTCCACCACATCCGATTTCATCATCCCCTAATTAGTCAGCTTTTACAGCATGCTTGGGGTGATTCAAAAACTGACATCACAGCAATCAGGGCATTCTCATAAATGCCCCGTCCGCATCTTCAGCAGCCAGCGCAGAGTTTGAATACCAGTGGTACCAGTAGCAGTCTAATTAAATATCTGCAACTCCCCGCTGCATCACTCTCACCAGTCATGCTTGGAAAAGGGCAGCGGGTCTAGTCTCTCCCCCCCTCCCTACCCCCCCCAATAAGGACCTGTGAAACCCGAGTGAGTGAGTGAGTGAATATCTGCATTTGATTCATGTCATTTCAGTAAGAATGTATAATTTTTTGTATCAGCTGTACAGGATGTGGCAAACGTCATCAAAGACAACATAGAGCAGTTCAAGCCCTATGTGCCATTGATTCAAGGACTCTCAAATCCAGGTCTACGTAAAAGACACTGGGAACTTGTAAGATGAAACTAACTTTTTTGATTGAAACTTTTAAAACAATGTTGTTTTCTTCTGCTTATATTATTGAATTTCTCATTTGTGTTATCTTTTCTGAATGCCTGTCAGTCTCATGTTGATATGTTTGTAAACCCCTTTGATATACACTTTACAACAAAACAAAATAAAAATTGATGAGAATTGGAAGAGCCCATTATCAGAGTGCCATGTGTTGGCTTTTGCATCTATGGAAGCCTCTTTACCTGTGTACAGCACCCTCCCTTCCCTTGAGGGCTGATCAGTCTGTACATAGGTGCCCTGGGTGGGTCCTGACCAGTGATCAGGGGAAGAATTATTCACCTTTTATGACATTCTTGTTGAACAGTGGGTCTTTTCCCCCACTACACACCTCCCCACAATCAAGCATACCTCCCCACAATCAGACATATGTTGATTTGGTGTTGTTCATCCATCACAAGTGATGTCCACTCTTTCTTTCATTCATCATGAGGTAACTTATAAGATCAGTAAGTGCCCAGAAGAGTCTAGGACAATGAGGGCAGGGTATAGTGTCTATAGATAAAAATCCTGTTTGGCGGGTCTTTCTGGGCCTGTCTTTGCTGTCCAGTTACCCTTGTTCTAGATGCTTTGCAGATTGTTGCACCATTTCTAATATATGTGCGCCATAAAGTCCAGTCTTGTGCTGCAACCTTCCAGGTGTCAGGGTTTATGCTGAAAGCTTTCAGTGATGCCTTTAGTGTATCCTTGAAGCGCTTTTTCTGGCCACCATGATAATGTAGACCTTCATGTATCTCACCGTAGAAGATTATTTTTGGGAGCCAGTGGTCCGACATTCGAACAATATGGCCAGCCCATAGAATCTGTGACTGCATCAGGATGGTATTGATGCTGGGTATGCCAGCCCTGTCTAGTACGACAGTGTCCAAGACCATGTCTGGCCACTTCATGTTTGGTATCTTTCTCATGTAGACTGTGTGGAAGTGGTTGAGTTTTTTTGGCTGTATACACTTCAGGTTTCACAAGCATACAGGGATTAGTACACATGAAGAATAGCTAGTCAGAAAACATAAAATACATTCTTTGGTACATATTAAATATGGCTAATCACATAAAAACACCCACAATAAAATCCTCACCTGCACAGTCATGGCGATAGCCCTAGCCATGCAGCCGTAAATCCTCAGGCTCAGAGACCCCCCCCCCTTCCCCCCACTGCCTACACCGCAAATTGACTAGTGCATATGAAGAATTTCCTGTCACACAGTAAATTTTCATAGCCAGTCATTCTTGATGTGTTGATTTGTACACATAAAGAATAGCCAATCATTCATTAATTGTTGATTTGTACACTTAAAGAATAGGCAATCATTCATAACAGATTGATTTGTACATATGAAGAATAGCCAATCATTCATGACACGCCGATTTGTACACATGAAGAATAGCCAATCATTCATTACGTGTTGATTTGTACACATGAAGAATAGCCAATCATTTATTACGTGTTGATTTGTACACATGAAGAATAGCCAATCATTCATGATGTGTTGATTTGTACACATAAAGAAATGGCAATCATTCATGATACGTTGATTTGTACACATGAAGAATAGCTTGTCAGAAAACATAAATACATTTATTGGTACATAATAAATATGGCTGATCACATATGAGTTATGAGTTAGATTATCTTCACAGCACTCCGGACACATCCATAGGCGTTCAGATTTCCCTCTCAACATATTCATCAGCGTCGTGCGGTTATGTTGGTTAACAAGACTTCATGTGCATCCGGTGTGCTTCTCATGCTTGGTTGTGCTGATCTTTACTCCCAATTCTTGTATTCTTAGCAGTGATGTGGACACGTTGCTTCCAAATTCCTCAGAACATCCTATCTCTCTAAGGACAATGACAATGTCTGCATGATCCATCGGCCGGCCATCTTTAATTATTGCAGCACCTGCCAGTCTGTCAGCTCTTTCTTACCAACAACACCTGCATGCCCTGGGACGTATAAGAAGGTAACTGCACACACAGAAGAGTTTTGCAATGATTCAAACCACTGTCTGCGTAACCAGCCTGCCTCGACCTGTCGGATCATGCTCAAAGAGTCACTCAGCACACACACGCAGGAATAATCACATACAACACCAGTATGTAAGATAATACGTAACACAGGATAGGTGACTAGTACATATGAAGAATATCCAGTCACACAGTAAATATTCATAACCAGTCATTCCTGATGTGTTGATTTGTACATATGAAGAATAGCCAGTCATTCACGACGTTTTGATTTGCTCACATGAAGAATAACCAGTCATTCACAACGTGTTGATTTTTACACATGAAGAAATAGCCAATCATTCACGACATGTTGATTTGTACACTTGAAGAATAGCCAGTCATTCTTGATGTGTTGATTTATACACATGAAAAAATAGCCAATCTTTCATGATGTGTTGATTTGTAAAAATGAAGAAATAGCCAATCATTCATGATGTGTTGATTTGTACTCTTGAAGAATAGCCAATCATTCATGACAGGTTGATTTGTACACATGAAGAATAGCCAGTCATTCACGACGTGTTGATTTGTACACATGAAAAATAGCCAATCTTTCATGACAGGTTGATTTGTACACATGAAGAATAGGCAATCATGACGTATTTATTTGTACACATTAAGAATAACCAATCATTCATAAAGTGTGGATTTGTACACATGAAGAATAGCTAGTCATTTATGACATCGATTATTGTATGCAAAGAATACCGGTCATGTGACATGTTGTTCCATAAAGAACCCTCTAAAGCCCACTGTGTACAGCTTTGGAAAGCAATGAAAGCACCAGTAAAGTTTAGGATGGTTATTATCATTTCAGATGTCTGAAGAAATAGGAATAAAGCTACAACCTAGTCCCACCCTGACCTTCACCAAAGTCTTGGAAATGAAACTGGATGAGCATATAGAGACAATCATCAGGATTTCTGAAGTAGCAGCCAAGGAGTATGCTATAGAACTGGTAAACTACTACTACTTCTTTAGTGTTGCCCTTTAAAGGATGGTTTGCATGTTGTTTTTGTGGTTTACTGCAAAGCTGTGATATTTGACTTCTTCTTTAGTGTAGCCCTTAACTTGACGGTTTGCATGTTATTTTGGTGGTTTACAGCAAAGCTGTGATATCTGCACCTTTTCAGTCTGACTTCAGCAAATCTCAGTTGTCTTTAATGAGAAGAAGTAGTTGGTCTGTTCTAACCTTGTCCTAAAAAAAAAATTGGGGGCTACCCGACCAGAGGACTGGTATACATTATTAAAGATGGACTGAAGCACTTAACAGATTTTCTTTTTAGGAATGCTAGGATGAAATGCTTACATGATTTTATATGGAATAATATTTCTAATAATTATATTCATGGAAATTTTTATGTGTAAGAGGTAGTGAGTTGGAGAGGGAGCAAGAGTGGGGGAGAGATTATGAGTATTGCTACTGACAATTCAATCTTTATGATTTTTGATAGTATATCTGTGATAAACATTCTGTGTGTTTTTCGTTGGCACAGGAGTGAAGCAAGTATGGGGTGACCCGTTTACTATAAAGCTGAAACTAAGATTACCAGATTACAAGATTACCTCCATTCTGTTCCAATCCTGTGCTATCCCTTTAAATCATGAATGAAATCCAGTCCAGCAGCTTTGGCCTCTCTCAGCAACGTTTGATTTAGGGTTTCTTTTAGGCGTCGTCTCCTCCTTAATCCCTTTATTTCCCATTTTAGTGCCCGTTCCATGATTCTCTGCTCGTTTCTTCTCAAGATGTGTCCAGTATAGCGCATTTTTCTGTGTTTTGTTACAGTTATTACCGGTGATTGTTCAGACATTTTTTAAAAATATATGATCCTCATGTAGTTTCCAGGGCCCTGTTTAGGGAAAGGGGGAGGGGTGGGGGGAACAGACCGACTTTTAAAACTTCTCCCCGTCTGTCCTCAACAGGTGTTGTAAAGGGGCAAATTAGGGATTAGCTGGAGGATATATTATATTGTATTGTACTATACATAACCCTTGACCTGCTAGGTTCATGGAGGTATACTGCTGAAAGCACTAACATCCAGCACGCCAACATCTGTCTTCTGCTTGTTGAACAAATGATGATAACTTTAGTACTGTCCATTTCTTGATGTTGTCAATCCAGTTTCTTCTTTACCCTCCTCTTCTTTGAATACCTCCACTCTTCCTTGAAGTACAGTCTTTGCAATCGAATCATGCCTCACCACATGCCTGAACCAAGCTAGCTTGCGACATTTCACTACTGCCAAGAAAGGCTTGTGATGTCTTTCAAATTTGTTTGTTTTTTATCTGACATATTTGTTAGGTTTATGTTCTAAATAATTCATAATATTTGTCTGTAGCATTTTTATTGGAAACCCTGAATCCTCCTTTCCATTTACACAGTGTGTCTAACAATATTATATAACTTTATATAGATATATCATCCATGTATATCTTCATCTTTACAACCAGGCCCTAAACAAAATGGAAAGTGACTGGGAGCACATTGAGTTTGATGTCCAAGCATACAAGAACACAGGCACTTACATGTTGAAAGCTTCCGATGAGACCTCGCAGCAGCTGGACGATCACATTGTGATGACCCAAGCCATGGCGTTCTCGCCGTTTAAGAAAGAGTTTGAGGAGCGAATCAACCAGTGGGAACTCACCCTTAAGCTGACACAGGTAATGTAATGAGTTTGAAGAGGGAATCAACCAGTGGGAACTCACCCTTAAGCTGACACAGGTAATGTAAGGAGTTTGAGGAGGGAATCAACTAGTGGGAACTCCCCCTCAAGCTGACACAGGTAATGTAAGGAGTTTGAGGAGGGAATCAACTAGTGGGAACTCCCCCTCAAGCTGACACAGGTAATGTAAGGAGTTTGAGGAGGGAATCAACTAGTGGGAACTCCCCCTCAAGCTGACACAGGTAATGTAAGGAGTTTGAGGAGGGAATCAACTAGTGGAAACTCCCCCTCAAGCTGACACAGGTAATGTAAGGAGTTTGAGGAGGGAATCAACTAGTGGGAACTCCCCCTCAAGCTGACACAGGTAATGTAAGGAGTTTGAGGAGGGAATCTAGTAGGAACTCCCCCTCAAGCTGACACAGGTAATGTAAGAAAAAATTTGAGGAGCGAATCAACCAGTGGGAACTCACCCTTAAACTGACACAGGTAATGTAAGAAAAAATTTGAGGAGCGAATCAACCAGTGGGAACTCACCCTTAAGCTGACACAGGTAATGTAATGAGTTTGAGGAGGGAATCAACCAATGGGAACTCACCCTCAAGCTGACACAGGTAATGTAATGAGTTTGAGGAGGGAATCAACCAGTGGGAACTCACCCTCAAGCTAACACAGGTAATGTAAGAAGGAGTTTGAGGAGGGAATCAACTAGTGGGAACTCACCCTCAAGCTAACACAGGTAATGTAAGAAGGAGTTTGAGGAGGGAATCAACTAGTGGGAACTCACCCTCAAGCTGACACAGGTAATGTAAGAAGGAGTTTGAGGAGTGAATCAACCAGTGGGAACTCACCCTCAAGCTGACACAGGTAATGTAAGAAGGAGTTTGAGGAGCGAATCAACCAGTGAACTCACCCTCAAGCTAACACAGGTAATGTTAGCTGTGGTGTGGTAGTGTCATGGCTAGAGGCTTGCCTGCATGTCTTAAGATCTGGGGTTCAAATTGAAATCACCTACCTAACCCCCCCCCCTTTTCCCCATATCCTGAAATGAGAACCTGGAACCCACTTGGGGAAGGATCACAGTATGAATTTGTTTATTTTGTGACTTAGGAGACTAGTCATTTTATTCTCCATTCCATTCATGTTGATTTATTACTTCCCTTCTAAGGGTTTGAATGGATTAAAACATGTTTCATTAGTGGCATTAGAAACATATCTTTGTTTTTTCAAAGGGCTGTAAAAGTTTAAAAATCTCTTGTTTAGACATATAACAGACATATCAATGTTTCTTTCCTTAGGATGTCTTAGACGAGTGGTTGAATGTTCAGAGGCAGTGGTTGTATCTGGAGCCAATCTTTAGCTCTGATGACATTACAAAGCAGCTGCCCACAGAGAGCAAAAGATACCAAACCATGGAGAGAATATGGAGGAAAGTAATGCGCATGGCCAAAATGGAACCACATGTGAGTAATTGCTTGGGAGTGTATGCTGGGAGTATTAGCATAGTTCCCTACCAGGAGAAGGGGAAAATAGCTTTCACGTGCAATACATAAGAAGAATATACTTAGCAGTAAGTGGCAGAACAAGAGCACAAAAACTGAGCTGTTGGAAAGAGCATGTATCACAACAGTTGTCTCAATGCTCAGTCTTCTTTGTTTTCAGAAGGCTAGGGCACACTTGGATGATGGAGGATGGTAGAGTCCCTAAGGATGTCCTCTGTGATAGATTACAGATTGGTAGAAGATGTTGAATTTGGCCTCCCCTTATAATATAAAGATGTGTGCAAGTGGGACATGAAGGATACATGTATTTTGTGGTGGATTTATTGGGCAGGATGCCATGGACCATGTGGCACGGAGGAAGAAAATCAGGAAGTAGGGATAATAGAGAAAATGACTGCAGATAGGGGAAGAGCTGAGCATCTAAGGAGAAGCATGTTATGGCAACAGTGTGTCCTGAAATCCCATGCTCTTATTGTTGAAGACTTTTCATAAAACAAGCGGGTCTTGCTAGTCACACTCGCCATCGACATCGTATATAATCTTCTTCTTCAGCATTCCAAGCCCTTGAGGTTCATTGCTGGAGAAATCACCCACCTACATTTATCTCTCTGGTTGGCTTTCTCTTTTTCTAGTTGGTGACACCTTGTGTTTGTAGGTCTGCCTGGATATTATCTCTACCCCATCGCCTTGGACTGCCTCGCAGTCTACGACCATTCAGCTCACTTGTATACAGTTTTTGACCTCTCTGTCATCTGACATTATCTTAATATGCCCCTGCCATTCAGCAGCTGGATTTAAATGTAACTATATGGTGCATTCAGCCATACTGCTAGATTTTAGGCTGCTTGAAAGACAGAGCCTTGCCAAGCTCAACTCGCCTCTTTCTGCTAATGACTGGAAGTCAACGACGCCCATCCCATCTACCAGCAGGATTTCTGTTGGTGGCCAGGGTTTTGCCACAAAGTTGTACAATTTGCTAGTAGTAAATTACATAAGTGAAAGCGATGAGCTGATGGGTCAGGAAATTGCAAACTAGCGAAACTGGGAATTTCCCAACTAGCACCTGTATATACGTAGGGATGTCCCTCTATGTCATCTTTGGTGAAAATGATGTCACTCTTGATGTAGCCAGGAGGGAAAAAAACATAGGGTCAGAGCTGTAGGTCAAGGTATCGTCTGCTTGAAGCGGCATCTCACGACACCTGGGGACAGGTCCGAGAAACCCCATTCAACCCAGAGGTTTGTTTATATTAGGGCCCTCCAGCAGCAGCTTTACGACACACACACAAAATTGCGTCTGACATTGGGACGCAGTTGTATTCTTGAAAACTATGAACTGTTTACTGTAACAATTATATTACAGGTGATCAAAGTATGCCCAGATGAAAACATGCTGACAGACTTGAGGAAATGTAGTGAATTACTGGAGATTGTCTCCAAAGGGCTCAGTGACTACCTGGAAACCAAGAGATTATCTTTCCCACGGTTTTTCTTTCTCTCTGATGATGAACTGCTGGAGATTCTCTCTCAGACCAAAGATCCTAGAGCTGTGCAGCCACACTTGCGCAAATGTTTCGAGAACATTTCCAGTGTGAGCAGACTTTCTCTTCCTTCCTTTCTTTCTTTCTTTCTTTCTTTCTTTCTTTCTTTCTTTCTTTCTTTCTTTCTTTCTTTCTTTCTTTCTTTCTTTCTTTCTTTCTTTCTTTCTTTCTTTCTTTCTTTCTTTCTTTCTTTCTTTCTTTCTTTCTTTCTTTCTTTCTTTCTTTCTTTCTTTCTTTCTTTCTTTCTTTCTTTCTTCCTTTCTTCCTTTCTTCCTTTCTTCCTTTCTTCCTTTCTTCCTTTCTTTCTTTCTTTCTTTCTTTTTCTTTCTTTCTTTCTTTCTTTCTTTCTTTCTTTCTTTCTTTCTTTCTTTCTTTCTTTCTTTCTTTCTTTCTTTCTTTCTTTCTTTCTTTCTTTCTTTCTTTCTTTCTTTCTTTCTTTCTTTCTTTCTTTCTTTCTTTCTTCATTTATTTTTCTCTTGTATCCTTTTCTCTCTTCTGACTTTCCTCCCTACCTTTATTCTTATCTCCACACTACTGCTTTACTGTTTGTTTGTTTTTGGTTTGCTTGTTTCTTAGGATATTTGACAGTCACGACATCAAAACCTTTTCTGTCACACATTAGAATATTTGACGGTCAAATTTGTGAACCTTTTCTGTCACACATGAGGTCATATGATGGTCAGATTTCTGAACCTTTTCTGTCACACATTAGAATATTTGATGGTCAGATTTATGAAGCTTTTCTGTGACACAGTAGGAAATTTGATGGGTCAGATTTGTGAACCTTTTCTGTCACACATTAAGACATTTGGCGGTCACTTTTCTGAACCTTTTCTGTCACACATTAAACATTCTATGGCCAGATTTATGAACTTTTTCTGTCACACATTAGGACATGTGACGGTCAGGTTTGTGAACCTTTTCTGTCATACAGTACACGTTTCAGTGGTCAGACATTCTGAACTTTACTATTATACGGTATGGTACTTGACAGAAGGACATTTGCGCCTAAGTGGAAACGAAAGGGAGGAGGGAAAAGGGGTGGCAATGGGTCTATTCTTTATTTCACCCAAAACCGCCTGGGAACCCAGAGAAAGATTGACCCTGAAAGGTTTGATTTTGATTGCCAGTGTCTCTGTGTGGGTTCCGGGGCTCCATTCTGGAGAGAGACTAGAATAGACTCACCACCTCCCCAACAAGCATGTTGTGAAAGGTGGCAAATTAGGGGACCTTTCCTTCAATGTCAGAGTCAGTCTGCCTGAGAGGCCAGGAACCAGCAGTCTGCATGCAAGTAAGCCAGGTCTGTAAAATGGATGTGCATACAGAACATAAGACTTATTCTACAAGAACACATTGAAAAGCAACAAACTCATCCTGAATTGTATTGATTTCAAGGTCTTTGACAGCTTATACGTAATTTTACTATTTGGAATTTTGAAGTGCTACAGCATACCAGCTAAAATAATACACATTATTAGAAATTAGTAGGGTATTTGAGAATGTGCAGTGCGTACTGGAAATGGTCTAAGTGACTAGTTTTGGTGGAAAATGGAGTAAAACAAAGGTGCATTCTATCTCCCTTGTTGTTTGGGGTAGCCATTGATTGTGTAATAGAAAAAAATGTTGCAAAGGCAATACCGGCATTTATTCAGTAGAGAATAATGGAAGATCTCGATTTTGCAGACGATATTGTTCTGTTAAGTAAAAACAACAAAGACATGCACACACAAAATTGATGATTTATCACCTACAGCATACACAAATAGGACTACACATCAGTTATGAGAAAACAAATATATTAAAGATACCAACAACAGAGCATAAAGATGCCATGGTCATGCTAGAGAACAAACCAATAAAAGTAACTAACTATTTTATCTATTTAGTTTACAATTTTAACTTTTAAGGAGATACAGCAAAGGAATTGTGAAATGCATTGGCAAAGCAACAACAGTCTTTAAAAACCTAAACAAAATATGGAGCTCCAAGTTATACAGCTTTAAGACCAAACTACAAATCATCATTTCTAACGTTATTTGAGTTCTAACATATGCCAGCGAAAGCTGGCAAACCACCATGATATGGAGCGAAAGTTGAAGGTATTTGAGAATGAATGTCTGAGAAAAATCATGAACCCAAAGTGGGATGAATTCAAAAAGAATGAGGAGATCAGAGAAATGTCTGGACAAATACCTGTATCGACTGCAATAAGACAAAGAAGGTGGAGATATATTGGGCACACTCGGAGACAAAAATAACCAAAGAATTACAAAATAAGCACTGAAATAAGAAAAACAGTCTGAAAAAAAAAGGACGTCCAAGGGAAACATTAGGAAGAACATTATTACGAGAGGCTAAATAGGCTGGGTTGAACTCCATGTCAGAAATGTAGAAGGTAGCATGCAGTAGAGCAGAGTTGAGGAATCTAATGTGAGCCCTTTGTAACATCTAACAGCACACAAAAGATGATGATGATGCAGAACTGATATTCTGGAACAAGACCAGAGTCTAGAAATGGATGAAAAACCGAAACTTTCCACCAAAGTTTGAACACTGAGCAGAAGAAGATGAAGAAGATTCCAATGAAGTTACCTGGTTATTTTTCTTACTGGATGTTTCAGCTGCATTTTGAAGAGGACCTTCAGATCACACAGATGTTTTCAGGGGAAGGGGAATGTGTGGAACTGTGCGAACAGTTGTATCCCATCGGCAACATTGAGGACTGGATGCTGGAGATTGAGAGGGTCAGCCAGCAGACGGTCAGGTCACTTCTGGCGGCAGCTTTGCCAGACTATAAGAATGTAAGCATTTGTGTACATAACATAACCCGTGACCCATTAGGGTAATGGAGGTGAATGGATGGAAGCACTTGCACATAAAACCCACCATCTTTCTCTGTCTTCTGCTTGATGAATAAGTGTATGATAAATTAATCCTGTCCATTTCCTGATGTTGTCATTCCATGTTTTCTTTGCCCTCCTCTTTTTTTGACTACCTTACAGTGTTCCTTTAAGTACAATCTTTGCAATTGAATCACCACATGCCTGAACCAAGCTAGCTTGCAACATTTCACTACTACCAAGAAATAGAGGCTCCTGATGTCAAGTGAATTTGTCTTGTATCTGACATATCTGTTAGTTTTGTTCTAAATAACTAATTTGTAAAATGCATCTGTAAAATTTACATTCAAAAGTCTGAATCCTCCTTTCCATTTCCACAGTGAGAGTCCAACTTTCACGTAAAAATTAGTGTAGAGAATGTTGAAGTTTAGTTGGACAAAAATCAACCGCTTAATGTGTTGTGTATGGTTTGGAATGTGTTTTTGTGAGTGGTTTGCAGTATGTTTTATGTCTGTATGTGTAATAGGTTGTGTAAGGTTTGGAATGTGTTTTTATGAATGGTTTTCAGCTTTATGTCTGTCTTTGTAATGTGTTGTGTAAGGTTTGGAATGTGTTTTTGTGTGTGGTTTGCAGTATATTTTATGTCTGTTTGTGTAATGTGTTGTGTAAGGTTTAGAATGTTTTGTGTGAGTGGGTTGCAGTATGTATTATGTCTGTATGTGTAATGTGTTGTGTATGGTTTTGAGATTATGTTTTTGAAGGGTTTACAGTATGTTTTATGTATGTTTGTAATGTAGCCGTACGGCATCAGCTATTGATTTTAGTTTGATTTCACTTGTGAAAAAACCTGACCCCACTGCCAGTTATCACAGTAATCAATAGGAAATTTTGTTACCTTAATTGCTATATTTAAAAAACAAAACAAAAAAGCCATGGCAAATCTGAATCTAAATGCTTTTAAAAAAAAATAGCAATAATGCTGGTTTTCATCATTTTAAAAAGTGGTCCTGGGAAAACCAGAAGCATTGCTGTCTTCTTCTTCTTCGCATTCACCATCTGTAAACTCTAGTGGAAAATTCTGGTTGTTCATCTACTTCTGGACTGCAGTCCTGTTCCAGAACCTGAGCGTTGTGTGTGCCTCCATTTTACAGATCTGACTCATCTGTATGCAGACTGCTGGTTCCTTGCCTCTCAGGCAGATGCACTCCGACTTTGAAGGAAGCTCCCAATTAGTCGACTCTTACGACATGCTTTTGGGTAGGCAGTGGGTCTATTCTTGTTTTGCGTATAACAGGACCCCAGAACCCACACTGGGATAGAAGCAGTGCTGTTAGTGGAGCTCCCCGTGAACAAGCCTCTGTAGCAATTCAGGAAAGGAGCGTTTTTTGCCAGTCTCGGTGTGAGAGGGCTAAAGGTAGTCTAAGAGCAGTCAGAGATTAAGGGCAGGAAAGCAGGGGGGGGAATCATTTTTGTTTTTTGCAGTTTCACCTACGCTGTTTCTCGATCTCTGTTTTGGACTTCCTCTCGTTCATCTTCCACTGCTGTCAAAGATCTCACATTTAGTTTGGTCTTACTAGATGGCCAGACTATTTCATTCATTCTCTGTCCTTCGGTGCAGTTCAGGCACAGTCTTTCTTTAACCTTCTCTGTTAGGCTGGATTTGTGACTCTGTCTTTTCTTGTGTTGTTGGAGACTGTTCAGAGACCGTTCATTTTATAGTTAGTTAGTTTCTCTTCTTGCCATTGTCCATATATATAGCACAAAGGGGAATGAAGATGCTATTGATCATTTATTGTGGTTTGCCTAAAATGAGACATTTGGGCGTCTGATCATTGGAGTTAGCTGATAAAGGTACCAAAAAAATGTCAAAATCTGTTGTACTGAATCACAGATTTCACAAAATCACTGCAACATAACCCACTTCATAATGTCAGGAATCAAAAATGAAAGAGTTTGTGAAATTGACTTTCTCCTTCAGACTGAGAGAACCAGTTTCGTACTGAAATGGCAAGGACAGATTGTGATTGCTGTGTGCCAGACCTACTGGAGCGCTGAAGTTGCCAAAGCTTTGGAAGATAAATCCCTGGCTGACTACTTCCAGTTGATGCTGGTTCAACTTGATGGCCTGAGAAATTTAGTAAGACAGGATATCTCCAAGTAAGGCTAACGCTAGATATGTTGTCTCTTATCTCTTCAGTTTTAACCCCTTCTGTGGGTTCTGGAGCACCATTTGTGGGTGGGTGGGTGGGGGTAGGGTGACTCAGACTTAACAGGCATGTCTTAAAGGCGACAAATTAAGGATTTGCTTGAACTGGATGTGTGGGGCTGAAAAGGGTAGACATCCTAGGTTATCTGTAAACCATAACATGCCAACTGAACTTGTAAGGGTGAAGATAGTTTACAGAAAATTATTTCTTCAGCTCTTTCTATGAGATGTTCTAAACAGCCAGTATTTGGATCTAAATGAGCTAAAGTATTAATTGTGGATTCTCTCCATCCTTTGTATTGTTAGCTTCTTCTTTAGCTCAGCATAGGTCGCTACATCCTTGCTTGTTGTGATGTGCTGTCTGTTGGCGGCTGGGTTAAGTGGTTGAATGACTTCATTTGTTGTTTTCTAATGAACTGCAGTGCTGTTACTACCTTCACTTTTTCTGAATTTAATTTTTTTTCCTTCAGAAAAGAGTCTGGCTGACCTGTTAAAGAATGGTGGGCTGTCATTCTGTTTTGAGGGCAATATTAAAATCCTAACTTATACAGTCCTCTGAGACTGCATTAGTCATGCACCCATAAATCCAAAGTCTGAAGATCCCATGTCCTACACTACACCACTCCTAAATCCATAGACTGAAGACCCCATGTCCTACACTACACCGCTCCTAAATCCATAGACTGAAGACCCCATGTCCTACACTACACCGCTCCTACATCCATAGACTGAAGACCTCATGTCCTACACTACACCGCTCCTACATCCTTAGACTGAAGACCCCATGTCCTACACTACACCGCTCCTACATCCATAGACTGAAGACCCCATGTCCTACACTACACCGCTCCTACATCCTTAGACTGAAGACCCCATGTCCTACACTACACCGCTCCTACATCCTTAGACTGAAGACCCCATGTCCTACACTACACCACTCCTAAATCCTTAGGCAGAAGACCCTATGTCCTACACTACACCGCTCCTAAATCCAAAGTCTGAAGACCCCATGTCCTACACTACACCGCTCCTACATCCTTAGACTGAAGACCCTATGTCCTACACTACACCGCTCCTACATCCTTAGACTGAAGACCCCATGTCCTACACTTCACCGCTCCTACATCCTTAGACTGAAGACCCCATGTCCTACACTACAGATCTTCTACATCCTTAGACTGAAGACCCCATGTCCTACACTACACCGCTCCTACATCCATAGACTGAAGACCTCATGTCCTACACTACACCGCTCCTAAATCCAAAGTCTGAAGACCCCATGTCCTACACTACACCGCTCCTACATCCTTAGACTGAAGACCCTATGTCCTACACTACACCGCTCCTACATCCTTAGACTGAAGACCCCATGTCCTACACTTCACCGCTCCTACATCCTTAGACTGAAGACCCCATGTCCTACACTACAGATCTTCTAAGATCCTTAGACTGAAGACCCCATGTCCTACACTACACTACACCGTCTCACTACATCCATAGACTGAAGACCTCATGTCCTACACTACACCGCTCCTACATCCTTAGACTGAAGACCCCATGTCCACTACACTACACCTTACCCCATGTCCTACATCCTTAGACTGAAGACCCCATGTCCTACACTACACCGCTCCTACATCCTTAGACTGAAGACCCCATGTCCTACACTACACCGCTCCTACATCCTTAGACTGAAGACCCCATGTCCTACACTACACCACTCCTAAATCCTTAGGCAGAAGACCCTATGTCCTACACTACACCGCTCCTAAATCCAAAGTCTGAAGACCCCATGTCCTACACTACACCGCTCCTACATCCTTAGACTGAAGACCCTATGTCCTACACTACACCGCTCCTACATCCTTAGACTGAAGACCCCATGTCCTACACTACACCGCTCCTACATCCTTAGACTGAAGACCCCATGTCCTACACTACAGATCTTCTACATCCTTAGACTGAAGACCCCATGTCCTACACTACACCGCTCCTACATCCTTAGACTGAAGACCCCATGTCCTACACTACACCGCTCCTAAATCCTTAGACTGAAGACCCCATGTCCTACACTACACCACTCCTAAATTCATAGACTGAAGACCGCATGTCCTACACTACACTGCTCCTAAATCCATAGACTAAAGACCCCATGTCCTACACTACACCACTCCTACAATCCTAAATGAAGACCATATGTCCCTACTACACCGCTCCTACCTTAGACGACCCCATGTCCTACAATACACCGCTCCTACATCCTTAGACTGAAGACCCCATGTCCTACACTACACCGCTCCTAAATCCTTAGACTGAAGACCCCATGTCCTACACTTCACCGCTCCTACATCCTTAGACTGAAGACCCCATGTCCTACACTACAGATCTTCTACATCCTTAGACTGAAGACCCCATGTCCTACACTACACTACACCGCTACCTACATCCTTCCTTAGACTGAAGACCCCATGTCCTACACTACACAGCTCCTACATCCTTAGACTGAAGACCCCATGTCCTACACTACACCGCTTCTACATCCTTAGACTGAAGACCCCATGTCCTACACTACACCGCTTCTACATCCTTAGACTGAAGACCCCATGTCACTACACTACCCCATGTCCTACCTACACTCTCCTAAATCCTTAGACTGAAGACCCATGTCCTACACTACACAGTCCTAAGATCCATTCCACTACACCTAAATCATGTCCTACATACACTCTTCTAAACTTAGACTGAAGACCCCATGTCCTACACTACACCGCTCCTAAATCCTTAGACTGAAGACCCCCTATGTCCTAAATCAGGCTGAAGACTACCTACACTACACAGCTTCTAAATCAATAGACTGAAGACCCCATGTCCTACACTACACAGCTTCTAAATCAATAGACTGAAGACCCCATGTCCTACACTACAGATCTTCTAAATCCTTAGGCTGAAGACCTCATGTCCTACACTACAGATCTTCTAAATCCTTAGACTGAAGACCTCATGTCCTACACTACAGATCTTCTAAATCCTTAGACTGAAGACCTCATGTCCTACACTACAGATCTTCTAAATCCTTAGACTGAAGACCCCATGTCCTACACTACAGATCTTCTAAATCCTTAGGCTGAAGACCCCATGTCCTACACTGTCTTCTAAATCCTTACTGACACCTCATGTCCTACACTACAGATCTTCTAAATCCTTAGACTGAAGACCCCATGTCCTACACTACAGATCTTCTAAATCCTTAGGCTGAAGACCCCATGTCCTACACTACACCGCTCCTACATCCTTAGACTGAAGACCCCATGTCCTACACTACACCACTCCTACATCCTTAGGCTGAAGACCCCATGTCCTACACTACACCGCTCCTACATCCTTAGACTGAAGACCCCATGTCCTACACTACACCGCTCCTACATCCTTAGACTGAAGACCCCATGTCCTACACTACAGATCTTCTAAATCCTCAGACTGAAGACCCCATGTCCTACACTACAGATCTTCTAAATCCTTAGGCAGAAGACCCCATGTCCTACACTACACCGCTCTAAAATGTGGTACGCCCGGCGGGATAGTTAAGTTGGTTAAACAAGCTACGCTGCGACCTGAACTCCTCATGGTCTGAGTTCACGCTCAGGGGTAGGAAGAAAAGCCACATATCTCCCAGATTTACTTTATCTATCATGGAGTTGGATCCGAATGGTTGTGATATCTATAGTACTGAGCCAAAGGGTTAACAACTCATGGTTTCTGGATCCCCCTAAAAAAAGTGATACATACAAGCAGTGAAGACAGTAATCATTTATTATCTCTGTTCTTGATGTCAGTTGCTGTTCTGAAGAATCTTGTTTCAGTCATCATTTTTTTTTTTCTGTCATCCTCTATGGGATGGGATAATAAATCCACAAACCCCACACCTAGTCTTCCTTAGTTCGTCTCTTTTATTGTACCTAGCAGTGTGCTGTGTTACTAGTCTTTGCTTTCCCTAAGAACTTTGGTAACACAGCAGATTTTTAACCTTACCGTTTAAATTAAGTAAAAAGTAAAAGGCCCTGTGCACACCACTGAAACAATGGGCATATGTTGTTAGACTCATATATTTATAGACCTCAAATTGTGATCTGGTCAACATCAAGCCAGCCACCTTTACTTCCCAGAACTTTACCTGGTACCCATTTTAGATTGGGTCAACCTTAGGGAGCTATGATATATAAGTCAGCTATTATTCACTTCCCCAGTATTGGACGCATGACGTTGTCAGCACTGATTGTGATTGAAGTGCATTCCCGCGATGTTGTGGAGAGGATGGTGAACGAGCATGTCAATGACCCAAATGCTTTTGAATGGATTAGTCAGCTGAGGTAAGCCTGCTGCCTTCATTATCATCATCAACGTCGTCATCATCATCATCATCATCATCATCATCGTCATCATCATCAACGGTGTTGTCCTGTTGTGCCCTTATATGTCTATTCCTCCTATCTGCTTTGTCCTTTGCAATCATTTCAGTATCGTGTATGGAATCCAATCCAGCACTTTTGGCCTCTTTTGTGGATGTATTGTAATTTTTTATACTGCAGGAAAAGTCTTTATAGAAGAGAGCAATTATGTTGAATATTTTTTCTGGAATTTCATAATGTTGTAAAATTTTCCACAGACCGTCTCTATGGACGCTGTCAAAAGCTTTCTCAAAGTCCACAAAATTAATATATATACTTCTCTGCCATTCGTTGCCTTGTTCTAAAATGTTACGTATGGCGAAGATGTGCTCAGTTGTTCCTCTGCCCTTTCTTAATCCTGCTTGTTCCACTCGTAGGCATTTATCTACTTAGCTTTGTTGTATTGCAGTAAAAAGATTCCGCTCAAAATCAATGCTGTCCATACCCCAGAAAAAATGTCCTGAAAGAGTTAGAGAGCCACCACCAAATGTATTTCTAACAGTTTAGTTAAGAGTTTGTAAGTACAAATACACTTGGAATTTGACAAACAATATAGTATTAAACTTGATATATTGATTTATTATACTAACAATTATTCAGGTGACATTTGTCATTTTAAAATATTGAATAAACGGTGATGGTATAGTGGTAATTAGATACCTTAGCTAGAGAACTGAGCACATGAGATTTATTATGTTCATATAATGACGATAAGTTTACAACCCCCCCCCCCCCCCTCCCTCCCAAAAAAATATTGACCGTAACTTTGTTGTAATAGAAGATAAAACCTCATAGAGCCCTCAGTTAAGCTCCTGCTTAGCTCTTCCCAGCTTGCTGATCTCACACTCAATGTAGGTTCGTACATGAACCCTCTTTTTTATGATTAAAAACTGATTGGTCCTTGCCCCTGACGGTAACTGGGGAAAATCCAGCGTTTGCCAAACAAAAGACTCACACAGCTAGAATTACTTTCTGCTGTTGAGCTTAGTTGATGGAAGGCTGGTCTGCAAAACTGAAATAAATTCCAGATGCCTAGTAGTATTCTCTTTCCCCTCATCCTCCTTAGCAGAGCTAGCTCCTCCCCTAATCTGTATCAGTCTCTTTCCTATAGGAGAGGACTTTAGCAACACCCCCTGAGGTACCTTCCAACTACAGTTATCATTGTTGCTGTCAATCATTTCTTGACTGCCCCTACTGATCAAACTTTCTAAAGGGGAGCCATCTGGTTTTAGCCAATGTCAATAGAAGGTGTGAAAATACCCAGCCATGGATGGAGGCACAATGCCTGAGCTTTCTTGCTGGCCAGACTTAATTTCCTTGATTTTGGCAGGTTCAAAGGGCCCAATCTGACCTATTATATAATATTTACGACACCTGTGGTTTCCCCAGTGGACTGGGGGTCACGTTAGCGCAGTCGATAGGAGGCTCGCTTTCAAATCCAGCTGCGATTTGCTGCAGTCCACGGTCGGGGTTTTCTAACAGGGTGGTTCCCGGGGTTCAAGATACCCAGCCTTAAATGGTATTACCAGAGATTAAACTAACACTCTGGGGTGAAATGGAGGAATGTTGCTGTAGCTACGGAGTTGCGTGTGGACAGCGACACAGGCAGAAAGTTTCTTATCAGCTCCCTCCCAAAAAATGGTGGCAGAGCGTTGTATGGTTTGTAAAACGCGTCATAATCAGTTAAGCTCCTTCAAATGAACAGTTTTATGTATTATGATTGGTCCTAAACTGGGCCATTTCTTTGCCAAACAAAAGACTAAGAACAGCTAAAAATTTTTCTGCTGGTTGTAGTATTGATGGCTTAGGGCATGGTTTCTGTCAACAGAAGAAATGATTAAACATATTAACTTCTGAAAACACTGAGGTGATTTCGTCAGAGATTTATCCCATCATATGTTTAACAGTCTTCCTCAGGAGAGGACTTTAGCAACACCCCCTGTTTTCAAATACATTTATCTTGTTGCTGTCATTGTCTTCTTGAAGCCCCTATGATCAAACTTTTCACTGTTCTGTTTTTAGCCAATGTCAATAGTGAAAATACCAGCGTATGGAGGCACAATGCCTGAGCTTTCTTGCATGAAGTGACAGAAAAATGATTTTTGGCAGAGATCATTAATACTGACCTAGTATATAATATTTATGACACCTGTGGCTGCAGAAAATGGTGAAAGATAATAGGATTCAGTTGGCAATGATTAAAAGAAAATTACAGTGTATTGTCTTGAAATCGTAAATCAAATTAATTTAAACTTTAGACGTTGTAATGACAGTAGATGGAGAAAGTAATTGATTATGATTAAATAAATGCAGTTCATGATTTTAGCATGAAACAGATTATTTTGTACTTTTGTAAATATGAGGGCAAACAATAGGAGAAGTGCACTGTTTGATGGCCAATTTTCCATTGCAGGATTAAGTACTCAAATGGGAGAATTGTGACTCTAAAGTAAATCCAGAACTATAACATTGATAACAGGATTTGACTAGGAAAAGAGGGGGGGGGGGAGGCAAGGACAGAAACTAGCAACTATACCTCATACCATGACCTTGTAATACATGACACTCAGCTTGCTGATGCTTCTTGAGCTTGTCTGTTATCCTCTTCAAGTTCATGGCTCAGATAGCCATGGTTCTCCACAAACTGCGATCTTCAGCAGCATGTATCAGTTCATCTGCTGACACTCCTCCATGCCATGACAAAAGTTGGTGTTTTATATTCCACTCCAAATGACCTCATAGAACAGTTCAATATTTTAGAGAGTGGTAAGACTGGGTGTCCTGGCTTCCTCAATCCCTCTCTTGCCCATTTGAGAGCCTAATCTGTGATTCTCTGCTCCATTCTACTCATGATGTATTCAAAATAGTGCCAATCTTTTTGTCTTTTGTCGGTACCAGCGGTTAATGACCCCAGAACATCTAGAACTGGCCCTAACCCCAACCCACCTACGTCCGACGAGAGAGTGCAGCCTAGGTCTCACGACTGCATGCAGCTTATCTACAACTCCCTGAAATATTAGACTATCCCGTGACCTGTGGATTTCTCTTGTTTGGGGTAGGATATTAATAAAGCACCCAAAAGTCAAAAATATTCTTATTGGATCTTCCTCTTTCTCACTTCCTATAAATCTTTCCCATGGTCACAACATGTTCGTTTCCTTCTCATTATATGGCAAAACAGTATGACTTCTCCTGATGTTGTGAATACTTGTCATCAGTCTGTTGCTTATCTCAACACATCTAGATTACTCATTTTGGCTGTTTAAGGATTTCTAAGCATTCTTCTTTGAAACCGTATCTCTGACGCCTCAAGAAATTCTTAGTTATACTTGTCCAGAATTCACAACCATATGTTTAACCGACTCTGTATAGCATGCCAGAATTTCTGTTCTAGCCTTTCTGTTATAGGGGGCTGCGTAGTCTCGAGGTGTAGTGTCCACATCGAGTGCTAGAGGTTCCAGGTTCAATCCCAGGTAAGGATTGTGATTATTTTACATGGACTTGGATTTCTAGTAATTCCCCCTGGCCTCTGGGTAGTGGGATCAGATGCCTGTGAGCATTGTTGTGTACGTAAAAAATCCCTTGGCAGTTGGAAATTAAAAAGAGTAGCCTAACGGTGCTGACTGGGCAAAATTTTGAAATAAAAATCTACCCAAAATATTTCAGGATCCTCGCTGGTGCTACAGAGCCTGTGCACTGTGCCGAGCATTTTCGGACTCAGACTTGAGTTAGAAGAAGAACGGAGCACTTATGGGTTACTACCCGTGTGTCATGATGTTGATCTGTTGTTCAAAACCTCAAACTTCAAACCTCTCTGTTATAGAAGCATAGTTAGCGCCACTGTGTTGGAAATACACATGATAAATGATTGTTTCAGATACTACTGGCTGGAGGATGAGAACTTGTACCAGAGAGCTGTGAATGCTCAGTTTCCGTATGGGTATGAATATCTGGGCAATACACCAAGACTGGTGATTACGCCTTTGACAGACAGGTGAACTTGATTGTTGTAGCAGTTTTGCCCTTTTCTTCTTTGCCTCTTCCTCCTCCTTTCTTTTTCTCTTCTTCTTCTCCTCCTCCTCTTTTTTCCACTCCTTCTCATTCTTAATTGTCTTCTACCATCATCGCCGCACCATCACCACTCCTCTTTCTCCTGCTGCTGCTTTCTCTATTTCCTCCTCCATTTCTTCTTCTTCTTCTTCTTCTTCTTTTTCTTCTTTTTCTTCTTCTTCTTCTTCTTCTTCCTCTTGCTTGCTTGCTTTTTAAAGGGCAGTTGTTATATTGTAATTTAACTCTTTGAGTCCCAAGGAATGCATCATACGTTCATAGGTTCCTACCTAGAAGCCCAATGAATGCATGATGCGCCAATTTTATTACTTTCTTTACTACCCCCTGGGCCTGTGATGCTAAACCCCCTGGGACTCAAAGAGTTAAAGCCAGGCTGTAAAATCTGCACCTTTTTGATCTGATTTCAGGAATATGTTAGAAATGTTTAATGTTTGACCCCCCCACCTCTTTTGATTGTCTGTCTGTCTGTCTGTCTCTCTCTCTCTGTCTCGATTATGTGCAGGCACACATACACACACATACACCTGCCCACATGCACCGTGCATATGTACATCCACTCACACACACACAGTCCGTTGATATGAATACAAAGAAGTATCATTGACCAAGAAAAAAAAGAAAAAAAAAGCAGATTCCATTGATGTTTATTCTCTCTCTTTAGATGTTATTTGACATTAACGGGTGCCCTCCATCTTTTGTTTGGAGGAGCTCCGGCGGGACCAGCAGGAACAGGGAAAACTGAAACCACAAAGGTATGTCTGCCTGTTGGTTATGTAGATCAAATTAAATAAAAAAGGTATGTTGAACAAACTGAAACCACGTCTTCTTCTTTAACTTCTCCTTCCCCCTTCCTCAATTTTCTTCTTTTTCTCATTGAAGTTCTCCTTATCATCATCATCTTTCACCCTTAAATGGCAGGTTGGCACAATTTCTGATGGTTTACAGCTAGTCTTCAGTATCTGGGTTTTTTGGTCCAAAACGTCCAAACCGTTAATTAGTAGCCTCTTATTACATGCTTGCTAAGCGATTGTTGATATATTCTAACCCTCCCCTTGCCCCAATAGGGATTCCCAGAGGGAGTCTAAAATGAAGTTTGGCTGTGTAAAATCAGGTTTTCTAAAAAAAAAAATATGTAAGCCTGAATGATAGAGGTCACGGGGTAATATAATGAGTCACCCAGTTTATACTTGTTTTAAACCCTGGGGAATGCATTCAATTTAACCCCTTCGCTCTGTGGTTTTTTTTTCTGCAACTTGCCCCTTTTATATATCTTTATATATTTTTGTATATTAATATAAGGACTGGACGACTTGACGTGAGCTGGTTAAAAGCCTTCGATGCATTGGTGGATTAAAAGCAGATGAAGAAAAAAATAGATAACACATGCTGAAGACCTTAAACATGAGAATACTTATTTTTCTCTAGACATACCAGTCAAAGCAGTAGGATCTGAGAACTCAGTCATCACATCATCCAGTTATTTGGTTAGTTGCCTATCCTTTACCATGCAGAACCAACCCCAGCAGTCCCTGGCTGTTGTGTGGTTTCTCAAGGCAAATTTACATCCAGTAGTTTGCCATTGCTTTCTGGACGGTCAGTCCCCTGATACCTCTGTCAAAACCAAAGCAAGGCGTATGGCCCGCAGCTGGGATCAAACCCGGTACCCCGGCATTATGAAGCATTCGCATCGACTTACCCACAGAGCCGACCATCAACCAGTACACAACAGGAATCAGCCACACTTAGAAACATACTTAGAGTTCAGAGCACTTATAGTTATGTCTGATGTACAGTGAAGATGATTCTGAAATTGTAGCATAGCTGTATTATTTGCGTATGTTGATGTCACACCCAGGTTCGTCTTTAGTTTGCTACAGGAGGAGTCTATTGAAAGAGAAAGTAGATGAGGAAAAAGATGGTCTTGTCGACAGTGATGATGTTGTCTTGCTTGATGCATGCTTCTCACGTCACTGATGCTTGAATAATAAAATTTCTGGAAACAACTGTTCTTTTCTATACTGTCTTGATTGTGTTTCTTTAGTAATGTCACAAACAACATCAATGATATTCTGAATGGCGCTGGGTTGCTCTATAATTACATACTCTGAATGTTGTGTTCTTCATCTCTAATTACTATGTAAACTGGCTCTAGTGTCTGTAACTGCCACCTGGCTTCTAGTGCTGTCTGGTACTAACAGTTTGATCGTTGACTCAAACATCTTAAGTCTTCGAGGCTCCATGTAACTGGTTCTTCTTCTTCTAGTGTTGAACTGGCATCTCTACAACTGAAGGTTCTCTGAAGGTTCTCTTTGAGGGTCCATGTTACTCTTCTTCTAATTCTTGTAGACTGAAGGTTGAAGATTCTTCCTAACATGTGATGGTCCATGTTTTTAGTCCCTCCTCTTCCAAGTCTTGATGACTGAAGGTTGCCCAAGTGTTTTATACCCCTTGTTTATACTGAGGTGTTGGAGTGCATGGTGTGTATTTTTTACTCACTAACTGCTTCTAGAATATTTTAGTATGGCTCAGCATGTTTACAATGTGTGTTCTCACATGGGATTTTCTAATTGTGTTTGGATTGCATCAGATAGTCTACACCAAAATATACTAATTGGATTGACAAATGTCTTTCTGTGTCATTCTAGAAAGTCAGTAAGATAAGGCACTCGTTCTTTGATATGGCACGTCAACAGTTACATCAGATGCTATTTATATAACTAGGTTATTCATTTGCAAACACCTCTCTGGGCTTGATGGTTCTTGAAAGGAATGTCCAGATTAATAAGACTTGTTGACTTCAGTGCCTACAACTAATATACAATATCCTACCTCCTAATAAACGTGATGACGTCTCCCTTTTACAAAGTGAACAACAGAATACCCGCACTTGTAGAAGAGTCCAAAATTAAACACACAGCCTTCAGAACATGAGGAAAATGGCTCAGACAATTTTCCCAAGGAGAACTGGGGGGGGGGGGGGGGGGGGGGGTGTGCGTGTCATTATTGTAACCACAGGAAATAAATACTAGCCAGAAAGAGCTCGGAATGTTAAGGACTATAACTAAAAAAATATTAGATGAAACTCTGTTGGACGATAAGTCCCCTTGGTAAACTGAAGCCCATTAGATAGATCAAGTGGTTCTCGAGTGACTTGCAGACTCTGCCGCTAGGGTGGCTAAACTTAATGGCCATAATCTTCATGTTGACATCTTTTATTACTATCTTGGCAAGTGTTCTGAATACACATAGATATAAGAAACAGTGCCAGATACTTTGATGGTCATATTGTAAAGAATGTTTAGCTGTTTTTTGTTTCACTTGAACATGATAACTACAAATATAACACAGGATCTTGGCAAAGCTTTTGCCATTCAGTGTGTGGTGTTTAACTGTTCTGACCAGCTGGATTACATGGCTATGGGAAAATTCTTTAAAGGCCTGGCCAGGTAAGAATCATATGTGCATCAGGTTAGCAAGGTGAGGTTTATTGCATTTAACCTTTAACTCTTTGTGGCAGGTAAATTCGCTTTAATGTGCAATCTACAGAGGGAATCGCAAACAGTGAAACATCCTAAAAGATTAACTTCTTCCAGCCTTGCTGGTTAAAGGAGAGGATTCGGGGTTTGCTCACTTCTGATTCCCTACTGTTCAAATAAATTGCATATTTATATGTCCTAAAATATACTAACTACTGTTCACTGACACCAATGACAACGGTTAAAATGAACTCCATAAAACTGGAAGGACAATTACAACAATCATGTATTTAAATTGAAAATCGAATCGTGGGACTGAATACTATCACTATCTATTGGTTGACAGAGTGGGTTGATATATCCACTCATTGAATGGTGCTCCTTGGGTCAGCTTTTGGGTTGACCTCTGAGACACTTCAGGCAGGTCGATTCTTCTTGTCCAGTCTAGACAATCGGGCATCTGCAGCTATGCTGGAATTCACTTCTGGAACTCCACCTGTAACTAGAACAATTGAACACTTCCTATACAAGCAGTTGGGAAAGTTCTCACTGTAGGCCACAATGCCTCCAGCCCTCATAAACTGTTACACTACACACACATATATGAAGTAGGGTGGTAAAGCCACCTCCTGTAGTACTGAAAATATATTCCTAATAATAAGGAAATATATATATACAACAATAATAATTATTACAAGCATGGGCCATACACCTCTCCACTTCTCCAACAGTGTAAATATTAAATTCAGCCATGTGGTATTCACTATGCAAGCTCTTAAACTAGTCTCAGAATTCTCTGGACTAAATCTAAATTAACTCTTTGAGTCCCAGGGAATGCATCATACGTTCATAGGTTCTTACCTAGAAGCCCAATGAACGCATGATGTGTCGATTTTAGTGTCTCTAAACTACCCATTGGGCCTGTGATGCTAAACCCCCTGGGACTCAAAGAGTTAAATCAAAACAGTGATTTATCAAGCTAATTTCATTATAAGGCTAAATCAACCTAGTAAGGATTAGGTATAATGAATATACACTTGATTCCTTCATTAATCGTCTCACCATGCTGGAAATTGGGACTGGTCGAGATTTCACATGAGGACATAAATTCTCACTTAATATAATTATAATAATTAAAAATACCAACTCAGGTTTCTAGTATAAAAAAACATTATATCAATCATAAAATAGATCATATGTTTACACACATGTACATACTAAATCATAAACGTGGTTAGTTAGCTTAGAGTGCTGCGTTAGCTCAGTCGATAGGAGACTCACATTTAAATCCAGCTGCGACTCGCTGCAGCCCACGGCCGGTGTTTGAAACCAGGCAGTTCCCGGGGTTCACCCAGCCTTTAGGTAATTTGTCCTAGAGTTAACCCTCTAGGGTAAATGGAGGAACATCGCTGTAGCTACGGAGTTGCGTGCGGACGGCGACACAGGCGGACAGTTTTTTTTATCAGCTGTCCGTACTGGTGGCAGAGCAACCATGGTTTATAATTGTGTGCAATGACACTGGTTCACATCTCCCGACTTTACCTTTATCTTTTTAGTTAGGAAAAGGGAATTCATCAAGGATTCTCCACCATGTGGGCATCAAGTTTGATAGAGTTCAACAAATAATATTATTTCAGAGTAATTAGCAGCAATAGATTAAATTAAACTAATACTATTCACTCACCCCTGGTAGGGAATTCAAACTGACAATAAGACTAGTACTGACTAACAACTTATGTACTGAGTCAGTTGAGGATGAAAAACAAAAATGTCTGTTTCCTTCCTCAGCTGTGTGTTTCTGTTTGAAAAAAGGAAGTAGGAAGTACTTAAAAGGGGGGAGTAACTCCCACTTCTAATTCAGATTTTCAACTCATTAGTTAATAAATTAAAAAAATATTGGTAATACAAAGCAATACTTAAAAGGTTAAGAAATAGCTGTCCAGATCAGCTCGTCACACTCTTTCAGTTTCAGAGGTATTAACAGGAGATTTCCAAGAAGGCAAAAGGAATAATGATAAAAACACGAGTGTAGGAGCTTCAGGGATGGGACAGACACAAATGGGGTATGATAAAATACAATATTTCTTGAGTATATTCAGACCAAGCATAAAGAATGTATGAGCATACAGAGTGATGCTTACTTAATATACATAGACACTTAAATGTTCACACAGGGTCCATGTCTCAGGGCTGAAAGAATAAATGAAATATATGTCTTGGATTTTCATGTGTTACCAAACTTTATTATAAACATGCATGCAATCTATTGATCAATGTATAAACAGCACATGCAACCAACACTGTGCTACCAGTAATATTTGAACATGTACACCTACGAGATAAGATGCTTTAGGTAAGCCAACAACTAAACCATCCAAGACTGAGTCATAAATAAAACTGTCAGATGCTGGTTAGTGATTTCAGTCAATGAGCAGTGCTGAGACACAGATAGATCACTACGGTCTGAAGAGAATGGCACTGCGAGGAATTACAAGGGGATCTGACTGACGCTCGAGCTCAGGGGAAAGGCGAGACGGATATACAATCAGACAATTTCTGGTACTGTCGGAATTTTAATTCTTCGCTTGCTGCTGAAGATGGGGACGGAGCACTTATAGGGGTGTTCAGAGTGCTGGGATGTTGATTCCTCATTCAACATTAGTCCCAGTTAAGGTGGTTGTGATGTGTATGAGAATTACTTCATACCTCACTGTGGGTAGTCCCAGTTAAAGTAGTTGTGATGTGTATGAGAATTACTTCATACCTCACTGTGGGTAGTCCCAGTTAAAGTGGTTGTGATGTGTATGAGAATTACTTCATACCTCACTGTGGGTAGTCCCAGTTAAAGTGGTTGTGATGTGTATGAGAATTACTTCATACCTCACTGTGGGTAGTCTCAGTTAAGGTGGTTGTGATGTATATGAGAATTACTTCATACCTCACTGTGGGTAGTCTCAGTTAAGGTGGTTGTGATGTGTATGAGAATTACTTCATACCTCACTGTGGGTAGTCCCAGTTAAAGTAGTTGTGATGTGTATGAGAATTACTTCATACCTCACTGTGGGTGGTCCCAGTTAAAGTGGTTGTGATGTGTATGAGAATTACTTCATACCTCACTGTGGGTAGTCTCAGTTAAGGTGGTTGTGATGTGTATGAGAATTACTTCATACCTCACTGTGGGTAGTCCCAGTTAAAGTAGTTGTGATGTGTATGAGAATTACTTCATACCTCACTGTGGGTAGTCCCAGTTAAAGTGGTTGTGATGTGTATGAGAATTACTTCATACCTCACTGTGGGTAGTCTCAGTTAAGGTGGTTGTGATGTATATGAGAATTACTTCATACCTCACTGTGGGTAGTCTCAGTTAAGGTGGTTGTGATGTGTATGAGAATTACTTCATACCTCACTGTGGGTAGTCCCAGTTAAGGTGGTTGTGATGTGTATGAGAATTACTTCATACCTCACTGTGGGTAGTCCCAGTTAAGGTGGTTGTGATGTGACTTCATACCTCACTGTGGGTAGTCCCAGTTAAGGTGGTTGTGATGTGTATGAGAATTACTTCATACCTCACTGTGGGTAGTCCCAGTTAAGGTGGTTGTGATGTGTATGAGAATTACTTCATACCTCACTGTGGGTGGTCCCAGTTAAAGTGGTTGTGATGTGTATGAGAATTACTTCATACCTCACTGTGGGTAGTCCCAGTTAAAGTAGTTGTGATGTGTATGAGAATTACTTCATACCTCACTGTGGGTGGTCCCAGTTAAAGTGGTTGTGATGTGTATGAGAATTACTTCATACCTCACTGTGGGTAGTCCCAGTTAAAGTGGTTGTGATGTGACTTCATACCTCACTGTGGGTAGTCCCAGTTAAGGTGGTTGTGATGTGTATGAGAATTACTTCATACCTCACTGTGGGTAGTCCCAGTTAAAGTGGTTGTGATGTGTATGAGAATTACTTCATACCTCACTGTGGGTAGTCCCAGTTAAAGTAGTTGTGATGTGTATGAGAATTACTTCATACCTCACTGTGGGTGGTCCCAGTTAAAGTGGTTGTGATGTGTATGAGAATTACTTCATACCTCACTGTGGGTAGTCTCAGTTAAGGTGGTTGTGATGTGTATGAGAATTACTTCATACCTCACTGTGGGTAGTCCCAGTTAAGGTGGTTGTGATGTGTATGAGAATTACTTCATACCTCACTGTGGGTGCCAGCTTGCTATGTTTTTAAAAAAAAAAATGGATCCTCATGCAGGACTTCTGCCACACCTCCCTGTCGTGTGCCACAGATAATGGCTGAAATGAGCATACACTGAGCTGGATTTAGTGGCCCCAGAGATGCAGTGCCAAGAAATCATCTGGCTCTTATCAGCACACCTCTAGTGCATGAGTGAAACCTGCTGATCTCTGAAGGATCCAGCCTAAGATGAGTGGGAAAACTCAGCATATTGATGTGAGGTGATGCAGTGCAGAACGTGACGATTTCTTGGGTGAGACCAGGGCATCAAGTATTGGCTCTGCATTTATGGAAGTCTCATTGCATGGCAGGGAGTGCCCATAGTCTGCCTCTGGGTTTCCTTGAGGGTTGACGAATCTACATGCAGTCGCCCTAGACAGATTCTCCAGGGGCAACACATTTATTTGATGAGGAACAGATAGAACACAACTCAAATAAGGCTACATCTTGTCCCAGGAAACTATCTGGGAAGTTAACAGGTCAGTAATTGCTAGATGAAGTTGGATGTTTCGGCCGAAGCGTGCAAAAATTGCAGTTTTGCTGTAAATAGGCACACAGCAATTACGTCACTCGGACATACCAAAAAAAAAAAAAACAGTCACATTGTGGAAATAACAGCTGACAACAAATTCATGAGGAAGTCAAAAATCAAATGGTTGTGGTCATCTTGTTAGAATGCAGTCGTAACAATTACCAGTACAGGTGCTACACCTAAAATGATCTGAGGACACCCAGTGAAAATATGAATTGATGCCATTAAGATAGTATACATCCATATGGGCTCATAATACTGGACTACACATTTTTCCTGCCTGTGATACTTAATGGTAAAAGTAGAAATTGATGATGATGATGATATTGAAGGACAGCACATTATGGTCCTAGAAGGATGTCCACACAAAATAGACATAAAAGAATCTGCCACCCATGACTTTGGAACAGAGAGAAAGACTCCCACACATGTGCTACAGGATTGCTGTATTTACCCCAGAGAGAGATTGAGGATTTTGTCTGATAAAGCTACATTGCAAGATGACTGCCGGGAACTGGCGGTGACCTTAGATGACCATCCAGTTTGTGACCCTGATGGAACTGAATGCTTAGGATGTCTGATGCACACGGAGGAGGAGAAGATGAAGGTGATGATGAATTGTCAATTCATTGCATGAGTAATATTTTGGATAATTTTTTTCTTCATCTTCTCTATTCTCCTCTAACAGAGTGGTTGACACATTGTATTGTAGTTTACAGCTAGGTGCCAATATCTGCACCTTTAGGTCCAGAACATCAGATTTTAGCAAAACCCTAATTAGTCAACTTTTGTGACATGCTTGTTAACTTTTTTAGTCCCAGATGGTTTCAAAATATAACACAATCTGGCATAGTAATCACATCTGTGTATGGTTTTCAAAGATATAGCGTATACTGGGCTGCATTTAAAATATTTGTCCATATTTCTTTTGCAAACTCAGAGCAAACATGAAATAAGTAACACACCATGTGTTGTATTCCTTATAAATAAAGACATTGCTAAGCACATGCGGTGCATAGCTTGAGATTAGGAGTTATGGACCAGTCAGTCTATTATTTTCCCCCTTATAAATGTTCCCTAGAACCCATATGGGGATATTTGGAGAATATGGTAGTAATGACTCGACCCTGTGTGTACTTTCAGTGCCGGAGCTTGGGCATGTTTTGATGAGTTCAACCGAATTGATATTGAAGTGTTATCGGTGGTAGCCCAGCAGATTGCTACAATACAAAATGCCCAAAGAATGAAGGTAAATTTTTTACAGTATTTGACTAGGGCTTCTTACATTATTCTTTTTATCGTTCCGACCATCTCAGACTCCATCCTGCTTCCTGTGTGGGTTCTGGGGACCCATGGGGAAAAGAAAGTGGGGGCAGGGGGAGGGGAGGGGAATAGACCCATTGCTTTCCTATCAAGCATATTGTAAAATGTGACTAATTGGGAATTTCTCATAAGTTTCTCTTCCTGAGAGGTGAATAACAGTCTGCATAACTCCCTCTTCCTGAGAGTTGAATAACAGTCTGCATTACTCCCTCTTCCTGAGAGTTGAATAACAATCTGCATAGCTCCCTCTTCCTGAGAGTTGAATAACAGTCTGCATAACTCCCTCTTCCTGAGAGTTGAATAACAATCTGCATAACTCCCTCTTCCTGAGAGTTGAATAACAGTCTACATAACTCCCTCTTCCTGAGAATTGAAAAACAATCTGCATAACTCCCTCTTCCTGAGAGTTGAATAACAATCTTCATAACTCCCTTTTCCTGAGAGTTGAATAACAATCTACATAACTCCCTCTTCCTGAGAGTTGAATAACAGTCTACTTTACTCCCTCTTCCTGAGAGTTGAATAACAATCTACATAACTCCCTCTTCCTGAGAGTTGAATAACAATCTACATAACTCCCTCTTCCTGAGAGTTGAATAACAATCTACATAACTCCCTCTTCTTGAGAATTGAAAAACAATCTGCATAACTCCCTCTTCCTGAGAGTTGAATAACAATCTACATAACTCCCTCTTCCTGAGAGTTGAATAACAATCTACATAACTCCCTCTTCCTGAGAGTTGAATAACAGTCTACATAACTCCCTCTTCCTGAGAGTTGAATAACAATCTGCATAACTCCCTCTTCCTGAGAGTTGAATAACAATCTGCATAACTCCCTCTTCCTGAGAGTTGAATAACAATCTGCATAACAAGTGTCTGTCTGTAACATGGATATGCATGGAAAATTCAACTTCTCTAACAAGGTTAAATCCAGAAGTAGACCAACAGCCTGAACTTCCCTCCTCAGTTTACAGCTGGTGAATGCCAAGAAGAAGAAGAAGATGAAGACTCCATCCTTCATAACTCTTGTTTTTCATTTTGTCATCAACATCTTCATTCCTGCTCTGTCAGTCTGCATTCATTTCCCTACTCCTCTTATTCACCGTTTCATCCTCCTGTTTATTCCTTCCTTTAGTCTTCTTTCAATTCTTTACTCCTGTTTGTTTTATCATCCCCTTGCCATTCCTCCCTGTCAGTATATATATCCCTTTCAGAACTCTTTTTATCCATCTTATCATTATCCTCCTTAATTCTACCTTCAGTCTTCATCCCCCTCCCCAAGCCCCCCCCCCCTTTTTTTTTTTACAAACACATACACCCCAACTATTGAAATTATAAGTATTTATTTGTTATATACACAATTCATATTATAATTATTCATAAGCAAGCCACAATGTATAGCAGCTAGATACTCATCTGCAGGCTTATGGGTTCAAATCCACATCAGGCCATATTTGTCTTTTTCATAAATGGCCTTTTGGACTCTTTTACAAGTGTGGGTGTTGTGTAGATTGTTGTTCATCGTGTCGACACCCTGCTGTCATATCTGTTTATGAGCTTGGGTTAACTTCATTCTGTACCTGGGTGGGTTCCGAGGCCCCCATTTGGGGCGGGGGGGGGGGGGGGGGGGTGTCAATGAAAGAACAAACCTCCCTCCCCCAACCAACAGGAATGTTCTAAAGTCGCCTAATCGGGGGTGTTTCCTTTGAAATTTGGATGCGTTTGTCTAAGAATTGAGAAACCAACAGTCTGCATACACATAAGCCAGACAGTAAAATGATGTGCACGCGGAACTCATCAAATTTTGAAACAAGTCCAGATGTGGGTGAACATCTAAAAATGTCCACAGAAGTTTATAGTTGATGAACGCTAAGAAGAAGAAGAACTCCATTCTGTATTTCATTCTGTATTTGTCAGATCATATTAGATCAGTGCACTGCGGTTCCAAAGCTGAGGTATTCTGTTTGCAGGTGGAAACATTTATATTTGAAGGTGTAGAGTTGGTCTTGAGGATGTCATGTGCTGTCTTCATCACCATGAACCCTGGATACGCTGGTCGTACAGAATTGCCTGATAATTTGAAGGTATTCCAGTAGATGTCATTTTGTTGTTGAAATTTGGAATTGAAAGAAGCAGGCATGTTCAGTAATGCACTGGAATATGAGAAAAAAGTGAGACAGTGAGGTGAAAACCACTAGGTTAGATAGTCTCAACATTTGCAGGTGACAGGTTTGAATTATATCGCATTACCTGTTAGTGTGTCTATCTCTTTTTCTTTATATATTCGTATACTGCCACAGATGTCAACAAATTGTTGTAGAGTTTTTTTGATGTTATCTTTCTGTCTCTGCTTCTTTCTGTTTCTACTCAAATTTTGACCAGGCGGTTCCCGGGGTTCACCCAGCCTCTAGGAAATGGGTACCAGAGCTGACACTCTGGGGTAAATGTAGGAACGTAGCTACAGAGTTACATGAGGACGGCTACACAGGCGGACACTTCTTATCAGCTGTCCGTACTGGTGGCAGAGCACTTATGGTTTATAACCGTGTGCAGTGATGCTGGTTCACATCTCCCGACTTTACCTTTACTTTTTTTACTCAAATTTGCAGGTATTAAAGATCAGTAATTGAAAAAGTTTACCATTATACGACACGACCCCTTATAAGGAGAAATACATAATTTTACATTGTAAACATTTTTATATTTTCAGGCCTTGTTCCGTCCAGTTGCCATGATGGTTCCAGATTATGGCCTCATTTCAGAAATCAGTCTTTTCTCATTTGGCTTCTCTGGGGCAAGACTTCTGGCACAGAAAATTGTGTCTACATTCAAACTCTCTTCTGAGCAGCTCAGTTCACAAGTATTCACATTTTTTTATGCATTACTTTAACTCTTAAAACACATGAGCATTTGGTGTTCACTGTTAACGATTAAGGATTTATTATTTCCTTAATTTTGTAAAATTTTGTTGTTTAAAAAAAAACTAAGGAGTCCTTGTCATTATTTGGGACATATAATTAAAGCTTTGTAATTATATTGAAAAATCATCATTCTTCTTCTTCGTGTTTACCAGCTGTAAACTTTAGCCGAAAGTTCTGGCTGTTCGCCCAGCTCTGGAACATGAGTGTTGCGTGCATGCATATCCACTTCATACATCTTGCTTAATAGTATGCAAACTGTTGATTCCTTGCCCCTCAGGCAGATGACTCTGACTTTGAAAATGCATCCCAATTGGTTGATGCCTACAGCGTACTTTCTAGAGAGGCAGTGGGTCTATTCTTGTTTTCCCCACATGGAGCGCACACAGGGAAATCAGCATTTAATTTGGGAAATCAGCATTCAGTTAGGAAAATCAGCATTCAATTAGGAAAATCAGCATTCAGTTAGGAAAATGAGCATTCAGTTAAGAAAATCAGCATTCATTTAGGTAAATCAGCATTCAATTAGGTAAATCAGCATTTAATTAGGGATATCAGCCTTCAGTTAGGGAAATTCAGCATTCAATTAAGGAAATCAGCATTCAGTTAGGGAAATCAGCATTCAATGAAGGAAATTCAGAAATCATTAGGGAAATTCAGCATTCACTTAGGGAAAGTCAGCATTCAATTAAGAAAATCAGCATTCAATTAGGAAAATCAGCATTAAATTAGGGAACTCAGCATTCAGTTAGGGAAATCAGCATTTAGTTAGAGATGTCAGTATCCTGCTGGCTGTCTGTACAGTACTTCCCAGAATATTTTCCTGGATTCTTTGTTTTTAAAAAAAAATTTTTTTTTTTTAAAGGATGGGCTGCCAAAGGAATTTTAAAAAAAAATCCATCTCATCTCTTTGTATCGCAAACTCCACGTGTGGGTTCCGGGACCCTATTAAGGAAAAACAAGAACAGATCCACTGCCTACCCAAAAAGAATGTCGTAAGAATTGACTAATTGAGAGCTTCCTTCGAAGTCGGAGTGCATCTGTCTGAGAGGCAAGGAACCAAAAGTCTGCATACAAATGACTCAGATCTGACAAACAGATGCACACGCAACAGCAACACACAGGTTCTGAAACAGGACTGCAGTTCAGAAGTGGACGAACAACCAGAACTTTCCGCTGGAGTTTACAGCTGGTGAATGCAAAGAAGATGAAGTATCCTAAACAATGCAATATGCATGATTATGTATTATTTACTTGTACCAGTCAACATGTAATTTATGTTTTTACATCTTATGCTTGGTGAGTGACTGTGAACTCTGAAAACATCTCTGTTTTCTGCAAGGGTTGTATTTTGGGTCTCTTTGGAAGCAGTATACCCATGAGTTTTGTACTGCCATTCTAAACTCCCGCACACAGCTAGATTGGGATTTGAACCTATAGTCACCAGGCTGGCTCTCAGTTGCACTAACTGTTAGACTGGACTTTCAAATTTGTGTTATAATGTGTATTAAATACCCATGTGTCAACATGGTCTTGCATCCACTGTGGTGTAGCGGATAGACACTTTCCTGCAGATCAAAATTTTTGGGTTCAAATCCAAATGAACACTGACTGAAAAAAACTATTTAAAAAAGAATAATTGTAGCTGCCAGGTTTACGCAGCCTTAAATGGGTCTCAGGTAAAATCCTGGAAAGTAAAGGTGGCCAACACAATGTTGACTACATCAACCACAAAATGCCGATTGGTCTATAAAAGATAGATCTAGCACAGTAAGCCCTTGTAAAAGGTCCTTTTACCATGGTCTATACGTGGGAAAAGACTTCTGTCTCATAAAAAGCTTGTTGTAAAAGACAATTAATATAGCTTTTGCTTAAAATCGGATGTGTTGAATAAAAGGTGCAGATGTCACAGCCTCGCTGTAAACAACAAGACAGTGTGCCAGTCTCAGTTTTAAGGTAATACAGAAGAAGAGGGTCTGCTTGTTATTCTGAGTTTGCTGATTTACCAAGCTGTAGAGGCATTTATCTCTTTGACATTATCTATCTCTGCCTCTTCCCTGTTTTGTCAGCCAAGCAGGTTATCAGCTCATAATGTATTAGTAATATAAAATAGTGGTTTCTGCTTTAGATAATTTGTCTGGGGTGTTACTCCAGTAGCCTTTGCTACTTACTCTAGTTTTTTATGGCAGAGTTTCAGAGAATTATAAAAATGAATTTGTAAAACAAAATTTGAAAAAGTCCTTGTAAAGATTCTTCTTCTTCTTTTTTCTACTCCTGGAATGTCTTGCGGTGTCGCGGCAGGAAGAGATCTCTGGAACAGGCCCTCTGTTCGCTTCGTATAAAGTACTTTTCAGTTTCTCTGATTTTTCAGCGGTCCATCTTCTGCATGTGTCGATTCGTGAGATCTCTTCATTTTCTATGAGAATTAAGTAAGCAACTGTCATTTTGCTGGAACAGTCACAGTGCTTTCAAACTTCCTAGAAGGTCACACTTGAACTAGACTGTCACATTAAACACTTGAACTATGCTATTACATTCAGACTAGTTTAACACAGTTTGCACTCTAGTATGTCTGAAGCTGACCCCGGCTAAATGTTGACCAAAACATAAACATTCCCTTGCCTCGCCATCTTGTCCGAATGTAAAGATTCTAACTCTATCTTCTTTTACCCCTTAGGACATGCCCGGCTCTCTAGCGAAGTTGGTTAAACCTGACTTTCGCGGCGGCCGGGTGACGAACTCCTTGTGGTCCGGGTTCACTCCCGGGGGTAGGCAGAAAAGCCACATTTCTCCCAGATTAACGGTACCTATAATGGAATCAATGCCGAAGGGTTGCGATATCCATAGTACCGAGCCAAAGGGTTTACAACTCATGGTTTCTGGATACGTAAAAAAAAAAAAAAAAAAAAAAAAAAAAAAAAAAACCCCTTAGGACATCACACAAGCGATAAACACCCGATGACACAAAGTGCCACCATGTGGATGAGTATCACCCGTGGAGAGGTCCCAGAAACCGTGTTTCAGCCATTAGACCATATTTATGGCAGGGCTATATTGCGGCCCCTGGCAAGAGCCAGAGTAGGGCTTCAAATAAACACCAAAAAAATTGCATCCCACAAGAGGATGACAGGATTATCTAACAGGGCAGTATGGTTAATATACCTCTCAGAAGATGTGGTGTTCCAGTAACAGTCTTGCTCACTTCTCTGATTTCTAAGCTTGGAGAGAGGAAGGTTACCTCTGCAACACAATCACCAGGGAGATGGTACTTTTCAAACTGGAGCAGAATAGCCTGTGCACCAGGGCTACTCAACTAAGATTACTTATGGGCCAAAATGTTGAAAATGGGGATCGTTGTGGGCGAGACGCCCAAGTCCCAGCATAGAAAGATCATTAATACATACAGTTTGCAATGATCCACAGGCTGTTTGCTAGGCCTTTGCTAGCTGGATTTTGCTCGCAGCTGCCAGTTGAAAAGTCCTAGTGTAGACAAACTTTGCCTCATATAGATGCAGGCTTTTTAGGACAAAAAGAATCTTAGCATCAATCAATCAATGAATCAGGTGCCATTTCCATAATGAAAGTTGGCTGCAATTTATCTCTAACATTCTGAGTCTGTTCTGTGGCTGCACGCTGTCTCAGACTGCTGTGTGTCTTTTCTCTTTATGTTGTCCACTTGTATAAATACATCATAGTGCATCGAAATAAAGAATTACAGCTTAATTTTCTCCAGCAGATTCACAAAGCAATCAATTAGGCAACCACATTTTAATTTAATGTTATATAAATAAAACTTATGATGTACCATCCACAGGATCACTATGATTTTGGCATGAGAGCAGTTAAAAGTGTTATTTCGGCTGCAGGGAACCTGAAACGAATGTATTTTGACATGGATGAGGTATTCTGTGTGTGACGTGTATTAGTAAGAACAGAAACTTAAATTATGACAGAATATTTGTGAGAGAATTTTGACATGGATGAGGTATTTTGTGTGTGACGTATATTAGTAAGAACAGAAACATAAATTATGCCAGAATATTTGAGAGAGAATTTTGACATGGATGAGGTATTCTGTGTGTGACGTGTATTAGTAAGAACAGAAACATAAATTATGCCAGAATATTTGTGAGAGAATTTTGACATGGATGAGGTATTCTGTGTGTGACGTATATTAGTAAGAACAGAAACATAAATTGTGCCAGAATATTTGTGAGAGAATTTTGACATGGATGAGGTATTCTGTGTGTGACGTGTATTAGTAAGAACAGAAACATAGATTATGCCAGAATATTTGTGAGAGAATTTTGACATGGATGAGGTATTCTGTGTGTGACGTGTATTAGTAAGAACAGAAACATAGATGATGCCAGAATATTTGTGAGAGAATTTTGACAAGTGTGAATTGAATAGTGACTTTGGTGCTTTATTAATATCCTATCCCAGATGAAATCGCAGGATAGTCCAACATTTTAGAGGGTGGTAAGACTGGGTTTCCCGGCTTTCTGATGCTTCAAACAACCCCAGAACATATAGAACTCGCCCTAACCCCAACCCACCTAGGTCCCACGAGAGAGTGCAGCCTAAGGCCCACCACTACATGCAGCCTATCTACCACCCCCTGAAATATTAGACTGTCCTGTGACCTGTTGATTTCCCCTGTTTGGGGTAGGATATTAACAAAGCACCTTTACTTTAAACCATCTCTTTCTCAAATCAGAAAAATTTAATAGAATAGAGAAAAACAATATATTAAACACATTCTGAAATAAAATGGACAAAAAGTACAAAATAGGCACTGAGATTAGAAACAAATCGATGGAAGAAATAAGGGCATCAAAGAGAAAACTAATGACAGAGTTTGATGAAGGAGTCAAGATTATACCCAGTATTGAAAGGGTTGCACAGAGGAAGGAGTTGACTGCAAGTCTGTGTGACATACAAACAAGCAACACAATAGAGTTAATGGTATCTAGTCTTAATATAAATTTCCCATTCTCACCTATTTAAATATTAACATTCCGGTCTTCAAAATGTTGTGCATTAGCATTTCCCATTCTCCAGTTTCAATATCAACTTTCCATCCTCCAGTTTTAACATTAATTACCGTCTTCAGAATGAATATTATCTTTCCACTCTTAAGTTTGAATATTCACTTACCAGTACCCAGTTTGAGTATTTTTACAGACCAATCAGCACTAGGTGGGTAATGTGGTCAGCATTATGCCGGCCGTCTTTACTTTCCCAGGACAGCCATCCTGGTACCAATTTTAGGCTGGGTCGACCTGTGATGCCCCATACCATGAAAAAAATCTGCGCAGCCAGCAGTGGGTTTCGATCGCGGTACGTTGGAATTTTGAGTATACTGGAGTATAAAGATGGCAGAATCTGCAGTATGAGTATTGGTTTTCAATCTAAAATTACTTTCCATTCCCCATCAAACATGGCATGATGCTGACCACATCAGCCATCTTGTGCCGATTGATCTATAAAAAAATATAGATCTAGCCCTATATGCCCTGTACATCTAGAGGGGGGGAAAAGGGTCCTTTACTGTTTTGTTACCCCATCAACATAGGCTGTGATTCCCATGTCTCCCTGTAGTATAGTATAATAATACCATCTGCAGATATGAAAAGATGTCAGTAATAACTAGAATGTCTTTTCACTGGAACCGAGAGGGCAACAGAGATGGTAGGACACAATATATATGATAACTCATTAAATAATTTCTGATATTTGTTTAGTTCTCTCCCACAGCTCTGCATTAATGATTCTGTCATACCATTTTAGTCTCTTTCTGCATAGATACCAGTTAATGAATGTTTATTCCATGTATGGGTCTCTGGCTCCCTTTATGGTGGGTGGGGGGTATAAGAGTAGACCCCCCCCCCCTCAATACACGCATTGTATAAAAGCTGACTAATTGTGGGTGTTTTCTTCAAAGTTATAGGGCATCTGCCTGAGAGTAAGTTTGGCATCAGGACATGTTCACCCACCACAAGGGATGAAGACAACTTATCTAAACCAGCAAATCATATGTTTTTGACCCATCTAATCTTTCTAAACTCATTCTCATTCTCACTGAATCCAGCAACTTATATGTCTACGAGCCATCCAGGATGTCAACGTGCCCAAATTTTTGGCTGATGATTTGAAACTTTTCAATGGCATTGTGTCTGACCTGTTTCCTAATGTCAAGTAAGTGTTTCTTTTTCTTCTGCGTTCATCCGAAGATGTAATTGCTTTGTGTCTGTTTACAGCATGGCTGCGATATTTGCACATTTTGGCCAACATATCTGACTTCTTCAGTCATTTTTTGAACATGTTAGCCTTTCTGGAAGTATGTATCATTTAGATTAAAGACTATCTCAATAAATCCCTGTCATTAAAAGTTACAAAACAGAATTTTTGCATGCAACATAGAACCGGATTCAACATTTAACTGTATATCCTTGACTGTTAGTTAGTAAACGAGCCAAGCACTCTTTGAGACCAGAGGTGGTTTTTATAGACAAGTGCTCTCCTTGGATGGTGACAATTAATAATCTAAATGTTTTGATGGAGGCTAATTGTCATTAGCAACAGCATGTATCAGTTCATGTGCTGACACCCTTCTATGCCATGGCAAGATGGCTGTAAAAAATCTGTTCACATAGTTTTCATCTGTCTCTGTTTCTACAAATCTTTCCCGTGGCCACACCATTTTTCAGGTTCCTTTTTTTCATAACTTGAAAAAAAAAGTCTCTTTCTGATGTTTGTGATAAATTGTCTTCAGGCCCTCATCTCTTTAAAAAATATCTTGAGTACTCATTCTTGATGTCCAAGAAATTTTAAGCATTATTTAGTAAAACCATAATTCTGGGACTTAGAAAGTGGCTGTCATAAAACTGTTTACTGCCTTAAAGGCAAGGGCTTGTATGCTGGATGAAAGTGACTTGTGCAAGGACTTGGATTTAAGTGAGGAAGAGTTGCTGCCGCGTGCGGAAATGCTCGCTTGATGCACCGCACACTTGCCAGGTATCCAGGTATGCTTAATAGTGTTACAGATCAAAGTCACCACTCCCGCCCAACAGCAATAAAGTACGCTGGATACATGTTGAACGTCAAAATATAATTAATGTATTTCAAAACCAAAACAATGAATCCACATGAATTTCTATACTGCCACAGTCATTCCTACTGGTGAGGCAACACACACGCTCTGGGCTACTTCTACTGCCACCCTGTTCCGTGGTTAACAACGAGCAAACATTACCTGCTCGTGCAAACCCACTGCTCGTGAGTACGTGTCTGTCTCTATGACACCCATCCCTCGGGTACACTGTCACTAGAAAGATCATACAGGCCGATGCACAATACCTTGTGAAGATTATCCAGACCTTTCGTAAGCCCTGCCTGACACGTACTTGAGATCTCCCATCTCACCACATGAGCTTCTGTCACGCTGGCCCCGCCTCTGGGGCATCTCTCGCCGATAGCCTGTATGCCTAACGCCAGCGTAACATGCGGGTGTGCAGGACTAGTCTGGCAACACCCAGACTAGAACCTACATCACCGCATCCTTCCTCTCCAGGGACTTGGAGCCAATCGTTTTCTCTCTCTTCACATTGCGTTCAATGTGTCCTGCACAGCACCAAATGTTTACGTTCAATAATGAACTTCCCTTTCATATACCCATATATTGCACACAACAGTTGCGCAATCGGTCGACCTCACTCCCTCGCCTATGTCCATCTTGATCCTATGGCAGGACAATGTCGAGACGAGTGGAAACGGACCTAAGTGCAGTGGATGACCAAGGTGTCTTAAGTGCCCTGCCTTGCTTGAAGCTGTCCACAGAGCCTGCTGGTAATCCTCTTTTTGTCTGTTGAACCAATAACAGGTTTCATCCGCACAATCCACTGAGTTCAGTCTTTGCATGCAGGATAGGCTATCTCAATCACTGAGTGGTTTAGGACAAGGTCGGCTACCTTCTTCTGGTTTAGCCAGCCTGTCAAACCTGTTGCCGGTGGGAGGGGGTGGGGGTTGTCAGCTCAAATGCAACACTGTGACAATACGCCTATCTACAACAACAACCCTAACACCGACAGAGTATACACATTAGCTTTCAGTTTAATACAAAAACTAACAAGTAATTAACCCCAAAGGTGGCTCGCATTAGCATACCCAGCCACAACCTGCCAAAGTGCTTTAAAATTGCACCCACATATCAACCATATGATTGCTTCCAGGGCATAACTGAGTTCAGACCCTAAACCTCCGAAACAAGCTCTTTTCTGAACCACTGTAATGTACACCTCATCACCTGTGTCTCTGCACACCCATGACATTTGTCTATTCTTTGTCTAAGGCAATACCCCCTAAGTAACAATCTTGTTACGAACATAACAGGTAATCGGACGATAAGTCATTCAGTAAATATTATTAAGAACATCAGGCTACCCCTACATACCATACTGAGTTTAACAGACAACTAATGGCAATATAAAAACTAGAATACTTTCAAGCTAACTTTTAATCACAGACTAACTATCTGACACAATTCTTGAAATCCTATCCACACTTCCTTTCTAAATCATCTATAAGAAATTCTATCAGTCAGAATATGCCTGTCCTGTTACCTGTCTCCACAACAACTCTCCTCAAAACCCGTTCACCTGTCCTTTTTGTCTTGCCAAAGCCGGTCAAATATCGGGAAGCGGGTCTGTGGTGGACAGCCGAGTCTCTGCTCGAGTCGAGTCTCTGCTCGAGTCATCATATTTTCCAGTAGCCATCCATATACTGTAAACGCGCAGTTGCTTACTGGGTCATTCAGTGCTAATCTGTAGTAACTATCATCAACTGCAACACATCCATAGCAACACAGGCCTCTGACAATGGCTAAGACTAAAAAGTAACTTATCACAAACATCAGAAACAGACCAGGCAGCATTGGATGAGTGATATGTCCACAACTTGCTTTTCTGTTAGTATTTTCTCCTTTTGGTTTTTGTGACTGATCTGGCAAAACCTGCAACTCTCAGAAGTTCAGTGTTTGTTTTCCTGTAGCACTCAGTATCTCATTCTTTGTTTTCTTTCTGCGCTCTGTATCTCATCGTTTGTTTTCCTTTGGCACTCACTATCTCAGTATTTGTTTTCCTTCAGCACTAAGTATCTCAGTATTTGTTTTCCTTCAGCATTATCTCAGTATTTGTTTTCCTTCAGCACTCAGTAAGAAAAAGGTCCTATAACTATACTAAATATTTCCCTTAAAGTTGTCACTGGGGCAGTAAAGCCTCATGCTGTGTGGGACAATCTTGGCATGTGAACAGCCACTCTGTGAAGAGAAACTAAACCACATATGATATTATCTGATGCTGTAAAGTTGATCCTCTTGCCTCGACTCTCTCAGTGCCAAGCAGTGATCAGTTTAACCCCTCCTGTCTCAACGAGTTAATCTTACAAGCAGTAAATGCTTAGATCCAAAGAAGTTCAACAGAGGCAAATAGATAAGCTAGTAATTCACATACATCACATTTTTAATGAGATATTCTGTTGAGAAGGGCGGCAGGAGTGACCAGAAAGATTAAATTATAAATGTCGTAAGACAAAAGTTTTCGCAGTACTAGTGGTAAATTACTTACAAAGACAGCGAATCAGATGGTGTACCCATTTAATGAGAATGTCTTGTGTCACCATACCATACAGGGCATACTGAAAAAGAGAGGAAAGGACATGGAGCACAAAGTAGACCAAGAACAAGATAGGAAGATAACATAGAAACTCTACAACAGCACAGTATGTCAATGGTTTAGGCTGTCAGCAAAGAAAGAAGTAGAACTTATACAAGAAGTAGAACTTATACAAGAAGTAGAACTTATATTTCCCCTCGATATTCAGAGCAGTAAAAGAGGATGGGAAGAAGGAAAAGACATCTGTCTGTGATATAAGATAACAAAAACAGAATACAAAGAATACCAAGAAATGTTTTGTTGAGTTGCTAGCTACTGAAAGAGTTAAATCACCCTTTAAAAAGCATGTGAAACGGGCATGAATAATACTTTGTGCACACCTTACGGGTTTATATTGTCTGCACTGGCTTGATTCTAAACTGGCTTTTTTTCTAGAAAAAAAGAAAAAGAAGGAAAAAATGCCAGTGCTCACTACAAAGTCTCTAAAAGAAGGTACAGGCACTCACCACAAAGTGTCTAAAAGAAGGTACTGGTACTCACCATAAAGTGTCTAAAAGAAGGTGCTGTTACTCTACACAAAAGTTTCTATAACAGGAGCATTAAGTGATGAATTAAAAAAGATGCCAGTACTGCACACTGTTTTATATAAAAAGTAAAGATTCCTTTTCACGCCTTAGGTGCATCGGGCGTATAGGAAGAGCACCCATATTTTTACAGACCAATCAGCACTAGGTGGGTAATATGGTCAGCCTTATGCCGGCTGGCTTTACTTCCCCAGGACATTACATCCTGGTACCCACTTTAGGCTGGGTCGACCTGCGATGTCCCGAACCATAATAAAAATCCAAGTAGCCAGCAGTGGGTTTTGATCGCAGTACGTTGGAATTACGAGTCGAACTCGCAATGCCTAAGCCACAGACGCGGCTTACTGGTGTGTAGGGCTAGAAAAAAAGCCCTGATCCAGAGTAATATTTTGTTTTAACCAGAGAGGAGCCTATCGATTATGGAAACTTGAACCTGTCCTTAAGGAGCAACTGTAACAAGTCAGGTCTCCAAGATGTTGATGGTAAGTGTTTATACTTCTGTGCAGCATTGCTTTATTTCTAATTTCACTCTGTGGCAGCTTCAATCAAATCGTTCTTAAGTGGATCCCGGCTCACTGCGGCATACCAGGAAATGAGTTATCAGACAGACTTGCTAAAAATGGAACACAGGAGAAAAAATACGCCTATTCATTGTCATTACCAGAAATTAAAACACTAATAAAAGGAAAATACGAGGAATTGTGAAGAGAACAAACAGTAAACATCTACAAGACCCCATCAGCAGACTCAACAGAAAGCAACATACAAGTTTCATCTACGAACAGGACACTGCAGGCTCAACTACCACATGCATAAAATAAAGATTGTACAGTCCTCACAGTGTGCCTGTCAAACAGGGCCACAAACACCTGAGCACTTTCTGCAGACCACCTGCCCACTCTACCTACAACTTCAAAAAGACACCTGGCCTCAAGAGCAAAGTGTGCAGAGCAAGCTATGGGGAACCATGAAGGACCTGCTACTGACATGTGAGTTCATAGAGGCAACCCACCTGATGGTCTAATCTGAGAAGAAGAAGATGTCTTTCTGGCAGCTAAAAATGGTATTGTCATATTTACGCAACATTGCGTGTGCACCTAATGATTTGTTGTATCAGTTACTTCCATCACCCTCCATGTCAAACACCACCCTAAAAAATGGTATTGTAGCACAGTAAAGACTGCTTCCATTGAGGATGAACTGCAGTTCTAGTGATGGACTGTTGAAAAAAATTCTAGTGGGGTTCTGTTTGTGTTGGCAGTTCTGATGACTTTGCCCGGACTGGAGCATGTTTCATTCAACCCCCCCCCCCCCCCCCCCCCCCCCACAAGGAACACAGAGCTGGGCATACTGTATTGTTTTGGAACTGTAACTGACTTAGTGTGTTTCTTGTGAAGAAGTAAAACTTTTAGAGGAAACATTACCAGCCCAGGTCTGATCTCATCATTGTCACAAATAAGGTTGACCGCAGTAGAAGCTGGTATCAGGAAATAACATAACACAAACTACAGTGGTCAACCCAGCCTTGAGTGGGTACCGGGTGCTGTCCCAGTAAGTAAAGGCGGCCGGCGTTATGCTGACCACATCACCCATCTTGTGCTGATTGCTCTATAAAATATAGGTCTAGCCCTATATGCCTAAAAGTGTGGAAAAGGGTACTTTACTTTTTTTTTTTTTTACTACAGTGGGGAAGTTCATCTTAAGGAAGGGAAAAGATATGCTGACCACATTACCCACCAAGTGCAGATTGATCTATAAAAATATAGTTCTAACCCTATATTTCCAATACGCCTAAAAGCGTGCGAAGGAGACTTTTTTTTTTAAAAACTTATTAGACAAGTACATAAGTAACAAGTCCTGCACAGCAGGATTAAAAAATTTTTTTTTAAAAAAAGGTTAAAGAAAGAAAAAGACTGACGTCATTCAGATAGCTACCGTAATGCCCAGAAACCAACGGTAAATAACTGGGTAGGTCTTAAAGAATGGTCATGGGGAAAGTAGTTTAAATTTCTGATACTCGAAATCACACTGACCTGAAGTGACATAGTGAAGTAAATGAGGGTGAAAGGTTACACTGCCCAGGAAAGATGTAAGACAGGACAGAGAAATCTGTACAGCACATTTCTCCCCCCAAAAAAGATGGATTAGAGAAGGAATTGGATGTGGGGGGGGGGGGGGGAGTATAGCAAACTGTATTTTTATAAGGACACATCTTGGGCGTGTAGGCTCATCTTCCATTCGGCCCTTCCAAGGACTCATCTTTCATACTGCATTCGTATTTGATCTCTGGAGCATGTTATGTTCATGTAACATATTACATACCATAAATATCAAGTGAAATACACTAAAACATGGATGGTAAATGCACGCATTCAAAATTACATAAAACACCAAACATGCACACATGCATACACCCTCATTCACATGTAGAGAGAAAATGCGTAGGGAGGAAAGGGGGATTCTAGAATCTTTCTGTCTCATGAGATGTGCAAGATTTAACGTTCATGACAAGGAAATCAGATCTACCACATTTATAGTCACCGTTGAAATATGAAGTTAGTGGTCTTTGAGCAATAGTCTAAGCATCTAAATGATGCCGGACTTTTAGAATTTTTGTATTTAGAATTTTTTTTAATCTTTTTTTTTTTTCCTCAGGTATTATAATTTTTAATTTTGTTATTAGTTATGTTTGTGTTGACACAGTTGTTATATCTGAAATATTAGACGTGTGTAATAATGTTCTAACGAGGTGTTAGAAGTGGATCCGGCCAAGTAGGGACGTGTGATAAGAAGAGAACAATGTGTGTATATTCATTGTGTTATGGGAACAGCTAGGATCTACACTGTACTACATTTGCTGCGGGGATAGAGAATCTGTCTCTGTGCTATGATGTTGATTCTTAAATCAGTAATCATAAATGCTGGATGTATGTGGTGCGTTTTAATATATTTTAAAATCCTTAAAAAAAATAATTATTGAATTATTTGTTTTTCATTCTTGTAAAATTTTTTATCTTTTTCATTAGTAGGACATATTATTTATGTAGTTTATGATATCTCTCCACCAGAACTTGTAGAGTGTGTACTTTTGTGTGTGGTTTTTTTCTCCACAGAATCTTAACACAAATTTGTATTTGGTTCTCTTAAGAAAATAATTTAACACTTGTCATTCTGTAGAGTTTATTCACAAGTGCATCCAGCTATATGAGACAACTGTTGTGAGACATGGTCTGATGTTGGTTGGTCCAGCTGGAGGTGGCAAAACAGAGGTAAGGAATGGGTATTGATATTTTGAGATTTGAACAACAGATCAACCCATAATTGCTCCTTTCTTTTTCTAATTGGAGTCTGAGTCCGAAGAAGCTCGGCACAGTGCACAGGCTCGGTAGCACCAGCGAGGATACTGAAATACTTTGGGTAGATTTTTAACTCAAAATTTTGCCCAGGCAGTGCCATTAGTCTACACTTTTTGATTCCAACTGCCAAGGGATTTTTTACGTTCACAACAATGCACAGGGGCATTCCGATCTCACTACCCAGAGACCAGGGGGAATTACTAGAAGTCCAAGTCCACGTTAAAAAAATCCCAGCCCTTACCGGGGATTGAACCTGGAACCTCTAGCACATGAGGCTCGGGGATTGAACCTGGAACCTCTAGCACTTGAGGCGGACATCATGCCTCGAGACCACGCAGCCCCCTAGGTATTGATAATTGTGCCCATCTAAGTCTCAGTGTTTGCTTTTAAAACTGCCCTTTTAGCAGCTTTTCATTTTTGAAGAGTTAATTTCAAGTATTACAAGCATTAGATAGAAAGTTTAAATGTGACCATATCTGGATTATATTTTGAGAGACAAAAAAATAAAGTTGTTCGGCCATCTTGTGAGAATGCAGCCAGACCAAACTGGACATGAGACTTTTTACAGCAGAACATCTGAGAGGAAAGTGAGAGGAAGACATAGAAAGAGATGGATAAAGTAGGAAACGTATCCAGAACCAGAAATTTGTAAACCCTTTGGCTCGGTACTATGGATATCGCAATAGTATAGGTACTAATCTGGGAAATGTGGCTTTTCTGCACCCCCCGGGAGGTGAAAAACAAGGAGTTCGTCACCCGGCCGCCGCGAAAGTCAGGTTTAACCAACTTCGCTAGAGAGCCGGGCGGATAAATAGTATAACTAGAACCTGCAAGAAAGAATAAATTCATCACCCAAGCCAGCCAAGAAGTGCAAGACTAATACAGGAAACCACGACACAGCGCTACATACAACCTGGTCAGTGAGATGGTAAACGAAGAACGAAACAGAATTTTGTGTCTTTATTGGAAGTATTAAATTGCATCCCTTCACTTCAGAATGGCTTATGAAGGAAAGCTCCACTACATGTCAACATTCCAGATTTACTTTAGCCTTCTTGATCTTTTCTCTAGTCCCTGTTCTGCCTGTCGGTGTCAAATTTTGAAGAGGTATATGATTTCAGAAGATTTTACTACTTCACTATTTTGAGTAATGTAGGGAACTGACAGAGATATTAGTCCAAAAGGCAAGAGGAGGTTTTATTGCAGGAGGAAATTTTTTGAAGGTCAAAGAAATCAAAAACTTATACTAAACTTAACTGGAAATGTTACATATGAAGGCAATGTGAGACAATTCTTGACAGCCTTTTACCCAGTATCCTAGCATGGAGGGTGTCAACACATGAACAGATGATACATGCTGTTAAAGATCGCCTATGCCAGTCTGCAAGGCACTTGATGCTGATTTGTGAACATTCATTCCAGATGAGGATCTGTTTTGTAGAAAGTAGCTTGTGAAGGCATATTTGAACACTCTGCACCTTCTTGGTGGCATTAATAAAGACATAAATTATAACAACAAAACTTAAAATTTTTAATTCTTATGTCATTTCAGTACTGTTGTATTGACAAGAAACATGATGAACAATTAAAACCATTACTAATAAACTATTAATTAACTGGTGTCAGCACAGATGAAAGGGAATTGAATGGTAACCATATAATCACTAATGTTGAGCTTTGGCTGAGAATAAACAAGTTCCATTGAACCAAGAGGTGAAGAAAAGATGATGGTGTTGGATAGGATACATGTTGAGAAAATCTGAGAACAAAATAGCTTGAATGTCTTTGCACTGGAACCTACAGAGGCTTAGAAATAAAAGCAGACCAAAAGAAACAAACACATATAGAAAGGAGCTAGAGAGTGAAGTTAAAACATTGGGAGGACACTAAAAATGTGTTTACAATGTATTAGGAGTGGATCCGGTCAAGGAGGGACTTATGATAAGCATGCAATAGCAAAGGATAGAACGACTTAGCATAAGTTGGTTGAGAGCCTATGCTTCATTGGGGGTTACAAGGCAGAAGAAGAAGGATGTGAGTCTTGATGTGTAGATGCTGGTATTTTAATGACCCCAGATATTCTGTCCACTCATTGTTTGCATGGGTGACCTCTAGCTCTACATCTGTTATGTTTCAATGTTTCAATGCACTCTTTGTAGCAGTCTTAAAACATGTCAGAACCATTTCAATTGTTGTCTCTTGATATAGATTTGCACTGTTTTCATCCCCTCTTATTTTATGAAATCATCATTTCTTTTCCCTTTACTTCATTTCTCTGCTTATCGCTTCTCTGAGCAAGCTTTTAATCAACTACTGGCTTGCTAGGCCTGTCACACCAGATGGATCCCATCCAATCTGACCAGCTAGAGCACCATTAAACTGAGACCTCAAGGCCTTGGTTTATCATCATTTGGACAGACCAGATCATGTTTGAATACCTGTCTGTCTAGAGCTTTTAATTTATTATTTGTATTCATTGATAAGAACTTCCTTTTTTTTTTGCTGCTGCTGAATAAGCTCATCAAAACGTGTTGATTTAATTTCCCATGCTGCTTCAATGTCCTCAGGTGGTCTCCTGTAATTGATATTCATACCTGTTGATTTTATTTCTCGTACTGCTTCAGTGTCCTCAGATGGTCTTCTGTAATTGATATTTCTGCCTGTTTATTTTATTTCTCATGCTACTGTAGTGTCCTCGGGTGGTCTCCTGTAATTGATATTCATGATATTGTTTTCTTCAGTGCTATAAAATGCTTCAGGCTGCTCAGACTGAGCTGAAAGGACAGCCCAACCCTTCCTTGTCATTCTTCTGTGCCACACACACCTATGTCTTGAATCCCAAGTCCATCACTATGGGTCAGTTGTATGGAGAGTTTGATCTTTACACACATGAATGGTAAGTTACACACCCTCATGGATCATTGCCATCTCCTCCTCTTCTTTTCTTATGTTGCTAAATCTTCTTCTTTCCCTGTGTGTGCTATCTTTTCTAGTTCTTTATATTTCTTGGCTATCTCTTGTACTTCTTTCCTTATACTTGCTATTCCTTTTACTACTTTCCCTATCTTTACTGCCTCTTCTACTTATTTTCTTTTCTTTGCTCTATCATTTACTTAAAAATTTTTTTTTGTTTATTACATCTTCTACTTCTTTTCTATCTTTATTATCATTTCTACTTGTTTCATTATCTTTGCTGTATCTTCTGCTTCTGTCTTTATCTTTGCTGTATCTTCTACTTCTTTCCTTATCTTTGCTGTATCTTCTACTTCTTTCTTTATTTTTGCTATATCTTCTGCTTCTTTCCTTATCTTTGCTATATCTTCTGCTTCTTTCCTTATCTTTGCTATATCTTCTGCTTCTTTCCTTATCTTTGCTGTATCTTCTGCTTCTTTCTTTATCTTTGCTGTATCTTCTGCTTCTTTCCTTATCTTTGCTATATCTTCTGCTTCTTTCCTTATCTTTGCTATATCTTTTGCTTCTTTCCTTTTCTTTGCTGTATCTTCTGCTTCTTTCTTTATCTTTGCTATATCTTTTACTTCTTTCCTTTTCTTTGCTGTATCTTCTTCTTTCTTTATCTTTGCTATATCTTCTGCTTCTTTCCTTATCTTTGCTATATCTTCTGAGTTTGCACATCAGTTTAACAGATCTGACACGATTTTATGCAGATTGTTGGTTCCTTGCCTCTCAGGTGGATTCACTCCATCATTGAAGGAAGCTCCCAATTAGTCGATTCTTACAACATGCTTGTTGGGGAGGCAGTGGGTCTGTTCTTGTTTTTCCCACAACTGAGCCCGGAACCCACTTAGGGATATATCTATAATCTTATTTGCCATTACATTGTTCTCCGCCAAACAAGAAACTTAATGTGTGGCCAAAGAAGAAGAATAAACCAACACAGAACTGGTATTGTCAGCTACTACACGCTGGATGAGGAGGGAATCCGAGCACTTATGAATGAGTGGTTCGATGTGCAATGAGAATAATCTGTCGACTAACTAAACTACCTTGTCCTCCCCATTGCAGGACTGATGGGATCCTGTCTACTTTGATTCGAATGGGCACTACAGCTAAAAATAATGACAAGAGATGGTATGTGTTTGATGGACCGGTGGATGCGGTGTGGATTGAGAACATGAACACAGTTCTTGATGATAACAAGAAGTTGTGCCTCAGCAGTGGGGAGATAATAAAACTTACTGAGGTAATTTGCTAGATTTATATATGAGTGAACACATTTTCATTTGTCAAATGTATGAATTAATTAAACAGATTTTTTGGGTCAGATTTACATATAAATGAATGCATTTAATTGTTAGATCTACTAATAAATAAATGAATGAAATTTATTTATTAGATTAATTAAGGAATCTAGGAATTGTATGCATCAGATTTACTAGTGAGTGAAAAACTTTGTCAGGCTTGGAATGAACAGATTGATGAATGAATGAATGACTGATTGAATTTTACTTGTCAGATGTATGAATGAAGGCTGCTTGCCAGTAGTATGAGTGAATGAACCAACATTACTCATCATATGTACAAATGACTCTGAAAGCACGTTGAAGGAGGTGAGGACACGCGCTTCATACAGTCTGGCATGCTTTATTTCAGAGATTGAGATTAGTGAATGCTTTTCGGTCTTCTCTCCAGGGCATATACAAGTGCATTAGAAATTAACTAGCAGATTTGCTGGTTCTGCCGTGAACTGATGCATTACAAAGCGTTAGGGGCCCTTTAGGAGCACATGGCTAATATGGAAGAGCAAAAGATAATCATGGTCTGGAAAACATTATGCTAAGGGGAGTGATCCGACACATAGCATTTAGTGGACAGACAAGATGAACATATGAGTATGTGCAGAGTGGTTTCAGAACCTGAGTGTTGCATGCACATCCATTTTACAGATCTGACTAATTTGTATGCAGACTGTTGGTTCCTTCAGGCAGATGCACTATGATGTCTAAGGAAACCCCCACTTATTCGACTCTTACAACATGCTTGTTGGGGACGCAGTGGGTTTGTTCAAGTTGTCCCTACATTGGGGCCCCAGATCCCACACGGGGAATCATTAGTGAACCTCTGTGCTGGCTGCTGAAGAGTAGGCAGCTTCATTTAATGATATAGTAAACTGTAATAATACTTAGTAAGTGGTGTAATCAGCTCTAATTACATTCAGGTAATTATACATTCTGGTCTAATGATCCAAAAATTTGTTTAGCTGAAGATCTATGTTGGTTAAAGCTGTAATTGTGTTAAGTTACTGATGTAAGCCAGTATAAAAAGCTGTAATTGTGTTAAGCTACTGATGTAAGCCAGTATAATAAGCTGTAATTGTGTTAAGTTACTGATGTAAGCCAGTTTAAAAAGCTGTAATTGTGTTAAGCTACTGATGTAAGCCAGTATAATAAGCTGTAATTGTGTTAAGTTACTGATGTAAGCCAGTATAATAAGCTGTAATTGTGTTAAGTTACTGATGTAGACTGCTATAATAAACTGTAAATGTGTTAAGTTACTGATGTAAGCCAGTATAATAAGCTGTAATTGTGTTAAGTTACTGATGTAAGCCAGTATAATAAGCTGTAATTGTGTTAAGTTACTGATGTAGACTGCTATAATTAGCTGTTTGTGTTTATTGATGTAGACTGCTTTAATAAGCTGTAATTGTTTTTAGATAATACGTATTCAGATAACTTGTCATTGAGAGTTAGAAAAAGATTTCTTGCTTGCTACATACATCCAGTTTTAATATATGGCTGTGAATCCTGGACAATCGGTAGGCAGGCCAAACAATTTTTAGAGGCCTCAGAGATGTGGTTTTACAGAAGAATGCTTAGAATACCTTGGACAGCCAAAAAGAGCAACCAAGAGGTTTTAAAAGAGGCGGGAGCCCGAAGACAGCTTATCACTGACATCAGAAGGAGACAGTCATCATTTTTCGGCCATGTTATGAGAAGAGGGAAAATAGAACATGTTGTGACCACTGGAAAGATCTGTGGAAGGAGGGATAGAGGAAGACAACGAGAGAAGATGCTTGACAGTCTTGTTGCATGGCATGGAGGTGTGTCGGCACACGAACTGATACATGCTGCAGGAGATCGCGGATTATGGAGAGGCATGATCGCTCACGCCAGTCGGCAAGGCACCTGATGATGATGATGAACTGTTTTTAGTTACTTCTGTAGACTGCTATAATAAGCTATAATTGTGTTAAGTTACTGATGTAGACTGCTATAATAAGCTGTAATTGTGTTAAGTTACTGCTGTAGACTGCTATAATAAGCTGTAATTGTGTTAAATTACTTCTGTAGACTGCTATAATAAGCTGTAATTGTGTTAAATTACTTCTGTAGACTGCTATAATAAGCTGTAATTGTGTTAAATTACTTCTGTAGACTGCTATAATAAGCTGTAATTGTGTTAAATTACTTCTGTAGACTGCTATAATAAGCTGTAATTGTTTAGTTACTGATATATGTTTTACAAAAAGATGTAATTATGTTTAATTCCTATGTTGACTGGGAGTTGCCGTCGAGGAGCGGCTAGATGCTTGCTGCAGAACTGAAGGTCGTTTGTTTTCTCCCTGGCGGAGCCAATCTTTTTTAAAAAATGACCTTGGCTCCCTTGAGTGGGTACCGGGTGCAGTCCCAAATAAGTAAAGACAACTGGCGTGACCACATCACCCATCTTGTGCTGATTGGTCTATCAAATATAGGTATAGCTTTATATGCCCTGTACGTCTAAAGGCGGGGAAAAGGGTCCTTTACTTTACTGTACTTTACTAATGTAGACTGGTATAATAATAGCAGAAGAGACTGTTTGACATAAATTAAAAGGAGGATGGCCATAGCAATGCAGAGATTAAACAGCCTAAAAAGTATATAGTTAAGCACCAGCAAGAAGATGAAAATTAAAATTTTGGACTATCTCCCAGTCCTTAAGAAAGAGAATAGGGACTTTTGAGTTGATATGCTAAAGAAAGATTCTCAGAAAATCTTGGACAAAGAAGAGGAGAAATACTGACATCTTGAAAGATCCAAACATCAAGGAAGATTGGCTAATAAAAAGCATCCTGTCTCGGAAGCAGAAATATTTTGGTCATATCAAGCGCCACGACGGATTGGAAAAAAAGTAGCAGAAGGCATATTACTGGCTAATAAACAGCATCCTGTCTCGGAAGCTGAAATATTTGGGTCATATCAAGCGCCACAATGGATTGGGAAAAAAAGTAGCAGAAGGCATATTACCAGGAAGGAGGGGCAGGGGCCGACCAACACGAAGATGGGCACAGGATATAAGTGACTCCTTGAGTATGAAAGTGCATGAGGCAGGAGAGCTGGCGAGAGACCGAGTTCCTTTCAGGCAGACCGTGATGAGAGCAACATTCTGCAAAGGACCTGCTACATGATGATGACGAGACTGGTATTATAAGCTGTAATCGTATTTAGTTAATAAATTAGTATAATGGGTTGTAACTGTATTTAGTTCACAATATTAGCTGGTATACCACTCTTTGCCTTCTGTTGCAGCACATGACAATGATGTTTGAGGTAGCAGACCTGGCGGTGGCTTCCCCAGCCACTGTGTCCCGGTGTGGGATGGTCTACATGGGTACCACTGTGGTCGGCATCCCTCCACTGATTGAATGCTGGCTGAGAAAACTGCCAAGCTTACTGACTCAGTATAGAGAGCAGTTTGAGGATTTATTCCAGTTCTTTCTGCAGGTATTAGTGGCTTGTGTTTAGATGTCCTGAATACTATCTTTCTTCTCCTCCTCCTCCATCTTCTTCTCCTCCTGCACCTTCTCCTTCTTCTCCTTCTTTTGCTTCTGCTGCTGCTTCTGCTGTTGCTGCTGCTTCTTCTTCGTCTTCCTCCTCCACGCCTCCTCCTCCTGCTCTTTACTGCATCACTTCATCCTCCTTTTTCTACCTCACCTCCTCCTCCACTGCCTCCCTGTATCCTCCAGTGAAGTGCAGTTGCTCAACTAACTTGCACCAAGTTGTCCTGCCTTTGCTATTGCAAACAGCTCACCGCATGCCCTTACCACTGCCAGTTGCAGTTTGATTATATGTCCGACTTGCTTTTCCTCTGAGTTTGGAGTGTCGACCAGATCCCCTGGTCACTCCAAGCTGTAGAGTAGAGTGTTGACCAGATCCCCTGGTCACTCTCAGCTGTAGAGTAGAGTGTTGACCAGATCCCCTGGTCACTCTCAGCTGTAGAGTAGAGTGTTGACCAGATCACCTGGTCACTCCAAGCTGTAGAGTGTTGACCAGATCACCTGGTCACTCCAAGCTGTAGAATAGAGTGTTGACCAGATCCCCTGGTCACTCCAAGCTGTAGAATAGAGTGTTGACCAGATCCCCTGGTCACTCTCAGCTGTAGAGTAGAGTGTTGACCAGATCCCCTGGTCACTCCAAGCTGTAAAATAGAGTGTTGACCAGATCCCCTGGTCACTCCAAGCTGTAGAATAGAGTGTTGACCAGACCCCCTGGTCACTCCAAGCTGTAGAATAGAGTGTTGACCAGATCCCCTGGTCACTCCCAGCTGTAGAGTAGAGTGTTGACCAGATCCCCTGGTCACTCTCAGCTGTAGAGTAGAGTGTTGACCAGATCCCCTGGTCACTCTCAGCTGTAGAGTGTTGACCAGATCACCTGGTCACTCCAAGCTGTAGAATAGTGTTGACCAGATCCCCTGGTCACTCCAAGCTGTAGAATAGAGTGTTGACCAGATCCCCTGGTCACTCTCAGCTGTAGAGTAGAGTGTTGACCAGATCCCCTGGTCACTCTAAGCTGTAGAATAGAGTGTTGACCAGATCCCCTGGTCACTCCAAGCTGTAGAATAGAGTGTTGACCAGATCCCCTGGTCACTCCCAGCTGTAGAGTAGAGTGTTGACCAGATCCCCTGGTCACTCTCAGCTGTAGAGTAGAGTGTTGACCAGATCCCCTGGTCACTCTCAGCTGTAGAGTAGAGTGTTGACCAGATCCCCTGGTCACTCTCAGCTGTAGAGTAGAGTGTTGACCAGATCACCTGGTCACTCCAAGCTGTAGAGTGTTGACCAGATCACCTGGTCACTCCAAGCTGTAGAATAGAGTGTTGACCAGATCCCCTGGTCACTCTCAGCTGTAGAGTAGAGTGTTGACCAGATCCCCTGGTCACTCCAAACTGTAGAATAGAGTGTTGACCAGATCCCCTGGTCACTCTTAGCTGTAGAGTAGAGTGTTGACCAGATCCCCTGGTCACTCCAAGCTGTAGAATAGAGTGTTGACCAGATCCCCTGGTCACTCCAAGCTGTAGAATAGAGTGTTGACCAGATCTCCTGGTCACTCCCAGCTGTAGAGTAGAGTGTTGACCAGATCCCCTGGTCACTCTCAGCTGTAGAGTAGAGTGTTGACCAGATCCTCTGGTCACTCTCAGCTGTAGAGTAGAGTGTTGACCAGATCCCCTGGTCACTCTCAGCTGTAGAGTAGAGTGTTGACCAGATCACCTGGTCACTCCAAGCTGTAGAGTGTTGACCAGATCACCTGGTCACTTCAAGCTGTAGAATAGA